CATTTACTGGCAATCGAGATAATAAAGCTCACTCGGGCCAGCAACTGTAATTGGTTGCTGCTTAGCCCATTACAGGGACTGCACCAATGCAGCTAGTTACAATGCTGCGAAGATAGCATATTTAAAAGTTATCATGTATTCAATGAGATTTTTTATGCCAGATGTCTTGCTCTTGGATTTTGCAATTACGATCGCTGAATTAGAGGCAGTTTTGCATCCTTTTTTTGGTACGACTTCACTGACAGCATCATTCATTGCCTTACCAAATGGCCGTGTCACCGCGGAGATTGTGAATCTTGACTGTGCGATAAGGAAAAAAACTCGGAATATAGGTCGGTTGTATCCTCCACAGAAAGAGGATGGGAATGGTTGGCTCAAGAGCTGCATGAACAGAGATTTAGAAGCAGGTTGCCTATTTTTTATTCAAGAAATAGTTTGTAAACTGGGGAGGGGGGAAAAACAAAGAGGACAAACACTTGAAGAGGATTATCAAAGGATATGAGGCAGCAGGGATCTGGGTCGAGTGGTCTTGCTATGAAATCCTAACATTTGTGTTAGAACTAGTATCTATGATATTAAACTCTACAGCACATACTGTAGTGTAAATGATCCCGCGCCTGATAGTACTATAGTGGATTGCAAAGGAAGGTTTTGCCAAAGAATCCAGATAAAAGGCCAATGTCAAGTACCTGTACAGTGGATAAGAAATGAAGATCCAGAAGAGGGAACAGAAAATGGGATTATCCAGGAGATAGAAAATGGCAGATACCTCCAATGGTGAGCTAACGTGATACAGGCCACAATAGACAAAATTGACTCCTGTTCCAAAAATGTCTATAATTAAGTTTAACAGATTTGCAAGTTTCGAATGCATATAGAAACGTGCATCGAGATGTCCAACAGACATGAAAACAGCTATGTAAATAGAAAATTGCATTAAATCCACGTACGAGTATGTGACACACCTGGTTAGTCTTCAATAATGCAGAACATTAACTTTGAATCCCATGGGGCGCTAACATGGCAGTTAGACAACGGTCAACAACAGACCTGAGTAGTTATGTTAAATGCACTTTTACCACATACAGTACACTTGCAGTACAAATCAATCAGCACACTTTACAGTAATATACTGTGATGCACTTTGCGATGCCCTCCCGATGTGAATGACGTTGTATCACATGCTAACACCAACAGACTTCAGTTCTGGGAAATGGCATCTTCATAGAAAGTGCAGTAGATTTATTAACCAGCAAATGGATGCCATTGTGAATTAGTTTCCCCTCATGTGAATCTATTGCAATACGCAAAGCAACTCTCAGAGATATTGTTCAACTCGCAAACACAGAAAGGCTGCTTGGCCACAGTATTTCAACATACTCAAGAGGATAATTCCTCTTGCCTGTACCTCCCTGTGAATTTTAGCTTGATCGACTGGGTATCAAGAAAAAAAATCACTATTTTCTCCTCACTTATGGTTACGTACATTCCTCAGTACAACCATCACACTAAGTACCTTTTATTGTGAGACGATACTAGTTTAACTCCAAATTGATATGCTAGACGCTTCCTGCACAAAGCCAGCTATATCTCTTTATTTAAAAAAAAGGAAACTCATTGCTCGAGTAGATTTATTGAACTAATTGCCAAGCTTATTTTCTCAGGTTGAAACAACACTCAGTACAGTCTGATTCTAAACATCTGCCTGGCCACTTCATCCTTAAATGCTAAATGTGCTTAATAATCAAGAAGTATTCAATCATGCCAACAAAGTTGGTATGTGCCACCTGAAATCCTTTCATCAGGAGGAGTTTGATGGGGCACTTCTTTAGCTCACATTGCCTATCAGCAGACGACACTAAGTGCGAGCAATTCGAGTGTATGGTCTTCATCGCTGACTTTCAGGTCTGCAGTAGATTTTCAAAGCCAGCTCAGGGAAAACAGCCGAAAGCCTCTAAACGATCAAGTTATTCTGGGGTTGCAGATGTATCATACTCTGGAAACATCTGCCAAATTCACAATGGGTGTAAAGCTCCAGTAACAACTTTGAGCCTAGCTGCAAGAGAATGTCATTATTAATAATGACTATTTGATAGAAGTTGGAAGTGCATTCCAAGACTGTTTTATTCTAGCCTGATTATTTTTACATACACCACAACACTAGACATTTACACAACTAGTTCTGGGGAGGGGGTGTCAGGGGAAGAAAGAATGAATCAAGCCTTATGAACGAAACTCTTTACTGCTCAAGTTTTGACGGAGAATCGACATATTTCAAATTGTGACATTTTATCAAGAAATCTTACTTCCATTTTGAGTTTGCCATACCAAATGGCTAATAATCAAATATAAAATAACCAACCAAAGCGATGCAAATAGGACTATAAAAAGTTAGAACGGATTCAGCAAGCTGATCAGTCATGGAAGAAGGCTCCGCAGTTTGGACAATGTACAGGTTAGAAAGACAAAAAAATATATAAAATACATTTACCTCTCCTGATCAGTCTCAACTTTTGTTCAAGAAACACTACATGGACACTGGATAAGTGGTAACATATACCACCCTATTTCTAAAAAGCCTGCCAACACTTAGTCAAGGCTCAAGCTTGAATAACTGCTACTTTGGTAATGCAACAGTGAGCAATTAGCACAGATTAAGCTTTACTACAAAGAAAATGGCTTCACTGGAGGGGGGAAACGTAATCAATCAACATCTATAGTTTTGGCCGAATCCATCTATAAGGTACAACCAAGAATGTCACATATGTCTGCTAATCATCTATCTCCCTGCTCTCCATTACACATTAGTGTGCAGAATACTGTAGTTCATGTGGATGTGTGAAAAAGCAGCTGCATTGTTCATCTCAAATGGGAGGGGGGAAAGTAATTTGATGCTAGTGACAACACGCAGGAGAGTCAGCAATTGGCAACACTAACTTTCCAAAGAATAAAACTACCATGTAGCTGCAAACAGTGCTATATATCTAAAGTAGCAGTTCTTCAAGTGTGAGCCATAACAGTGCACTTATTCAAGCATTCACAGATCACATAGTTACTTCTTGTGCATCTGGACAAGAGAAAGCAAGCCTCAACGTCGACGTCGAAATCATTAATTAGAATTACTACATTCCAGTTCAATGTAAAAATGGGAATTGGAAGCGTTTCATCTTCAGGCTTCCTGTCAAGCTTAATCTCTTTCTTCCAATTGAACAAATCTTTTCCACTTTGCTTTCTGAGATGATTTGATGCCCGACTTCTGGCTTTGCCGAGCACCACTGAATAGTGCTATTTTAATTTGGCCGATCCTCTGGCAAATACACAAAATCAGCTACGGGTTTTTGAAAGAATCTGTTGATCAAACCTTCAAGGGGTCAAGCCAAGTCAAGAGGAAACTCTAAGCCCATCACTTGAGCAGATAGCAGAAGAGGCCATTCCAAATAATGCACACCTTCTGTAGGAGTTTGATCTAACCGAGATGCCCTAAATGTTTTTTTAAAAATAAACCTAAACCATATGTTAAGTGCTGTTAACATATGCCAGATTGCAAATTGTGGATTATTTGCTTTGAATACATTACTATAGCAGCCAAAGGGTTACAAGACAGTTCTTTAGAGACTCAAATGGATTATAAAATGTATCTCTCCTCAACCCAACATTCATGGCATGGTAGGTTTATAAGGTACTGGCCCAAAAATGGCCCTCACCGCAAAACCAATTCACATCTGTGATCACAAATCACCATCAAAGGTGAATACAAGTACACATCTCCTGCACCCATCATTTCTATATCCAGCTGTGTCCCCACTGATTAGATATCCCAATCTACTAGGTTCTCGTTTGCATGTTGTGCTAACCATGTGTAAATACATAGAGAATTACAGATGGCTTTAATTATGTAAATAAGCCATGAAAAAATTGGAAGGAATTTTTACGATTGTTAAATCACAATTAAAAACACCCACAATTCCTTTTGTACAAGTGCCAACACACGAAGCGTAAACTGCAAATTAGAACCCATTGAACACCAATTTACATTTTTGTGAACATTTATAAATACGGTATAACATTTCCTGGTTTTTCCATTTGTGCTGCAAAGAAAACAGGGAGCTTCAGTAATTATTGTTACATTTGATATAAAACCTCTCATGTCAGTAGGACAGCTCAAATTACTTCAGGAATTACTGTGAAATGTAGTGACTGCAGAAAAACACAACAACCAATCTGCACAAAGCAATGTCATACAAAACTCTGCCGCTCGCATTCTTACCCGCACTAAACTCCGCTCCCCGATTACCCCAGTCCTTGCCAGACTGCATGGGCTGGCTGCCTGTCCCAGAGAGGATCGACTTCAAGATTCTCAACCTTGTCTTCAAATCCCTCCACTCCTCTGCACCTCCCTACCTCTCTGACCTCCTCTCCTCACAACAGTGCCCGTTGCCTTCGTTCCACCGGGTCTGGCCTTCTCCTTGTCCCACGAGTCCTCAGCTCCACCCTCGGCAGCCATGCCTTCAGCCACATGCTTCCTCACTCCCTTCACCTTGCCCCCTCTTCCTATTTTCAGGTCTCGGCCGAAGAACTTTCTTTTCGACCGTGCCTTTGGTCTCCCTCCCACCTCTCTGCCTTCCCTCACCCCTACACCACCCCTCCCCCACGCTCGGGCCTTGACACCTGACTGTTCAGCGCTTTGGGACGTCCTCCCGACATGAAGGGCGCTCTATAAATGTAATTTTGTTGTTGTTGTTCCCACAGCTTTCCAACATAGAAGCCTAAATTAATCAGCGATAGGAACCTGCAGCAAGCATAACATTTAGGTGATCTGTTACTGTATGAGCACACAATAAACCATCTATCCTACATGGAATATTTTAAGCCATACATTTTAAGTAGCATGTGTTCAAGAACATTTGTTAAAAACCAAAATAGCTTTCAACCAGACATAGTGCAATGCATCTGACATCCATCCTAGAACCCTAAAATGACACAATTTAGCACCCAGTGAGTTTAAGGAAACCATGTTTAATAAACAACCAGGATTCAACCTCCAAACAATAGTTAAAATACAATTTTAAGTTACATTAACATATACAAGTGGAACATGGGTATTTCTAAAGTGTTTATATTCTGTACTATTACATCCAACCGTTCAAGCGACACCTCAATATAATTGTGCTCTATGGCACTTGCTGTGCTAACATACATTACATAGTTAATGACATTAACATGCAATAATCTGGACTAAAGCCGTTGGACACAATAGATGAACGATTCAGCTACATTTACTTTCATGTTGTACCTACCAAGAGCCATTCAAGATTTAAACAGCAATTTTCTTGTTACTTAAGTAATCTTCACTGTCCCCAAGAGAAAATACGACATTTGGTTATTGCAGTAATTTGTAAATGTCATATTGACTTAAGTTTTCTTGTTTTTTCAGTAATACAAATTGGGCCACAATTAGAGGCAATTTAAGAAACCAGTCAATAGCTGCTTGAATAATTGCCAGCAACACACAATGTAAACCATATGAACTATTCAGTGATTTGTGTCCATTAGAACTTTCAACTCAGAACTTGACACAAGGCTGAAAGGAATCAAAAGCATTTGCAAGGCAAAATAAGTGTTCAACCACACCCACCTTCATAATCCTGCTTAAACATGAAAATGATGCACTGAAAATAGCCCCCTTCCAATCCCCCTCTCCCCCTTTTGAAACATGAACAAGTCCAAGTCCTCCTACGGTTACAATTCCACAAGGAACAGCACTCTTTCGTAACTCATTCTTCATGTTCAGGAAGTGTCAACAGGCAATTTGGCCCAAGGAGAATGACAATTAAGACCAATTGGCCTTGCTCGATGTCCAGAAATGCACTTTTGCAGCAGCAAAAGCAATCAAGAGTGGAAATTTTGGTTAATTTCTCCTTCCAAGCCCAGAGGCACTAAGGACAATCATAGCTCTCCTACTGACCCCAGAAAATCCAGCCCAGAGGCAACCAAGAAACCTCTCAATATGTATTACTCAGTCAAATATTTTAATTAAAGCCTACATTTACTAAGAGCCTGAAATTATATTTTGCACAAACTGAAGTCAATCACAAAGACTATTCTTCTCTATCCTGTTAGGCAGTCAACAGGACTCAGCTGTGAAACAACAGCACCAGTGAACGAGCTGTACAAAAATCAGCATCCCAAGCATTTTAATGATTGGATGACCCAGAAAGATGAAGTATTGAAAGACGACAGCTGTCAATTCATTTTGTCCCCGTACTTTCTTGGTGCATTGAATCCCTCTTCAAAGTTGTTGTCTAGAGGAGAAGAAGGGTCACAGATAAGGGGAAATTGACTCATTGACATTTTTAGTTAGAATGTTACATAGAGAACTGGTAACAGGCTACACTCCAAATGTCTTAAATAAACACCAAATTGAACTTTTGCTACTATTGGTCTAAACTCAAATGGACTGAAGTAGAATGAAGCAGAGGAAAAGAAAAAACAGCCAGAGTCCCTACTCATAATTATTGAAAAGTATGTATGTAGATGACAGCAGAGTTTAGGGACAAATAGCATTATTTTCCCTAACTAATGATCAAAGACATTTTAAAGTGCAAAATTATTTTTGCCCAGACTTGAAGAACACAGAACCAACAATCATGCGGTAGACTTCCCCACAAAGTCTACAGCTTTGAAGACCAAAGAAAATGCAAATAACCTAGGAGAAGCAAGTCACTTAAAGTGCTAGGGATCTGAGTCAGTAAAGCTTACATGTACTCCAAACCAGGTTACCCAGACAGACAGTTTAACATTCAGGGGAACCACAAGAATAAGTAGCCATCATACCCACCTGAACAGACTGCTTAGCATTCATGAAGACCTGTGAATTCAGAAATATTACCATGGAACATTTTCTTCTTCAGCTGTAAAAAAACAAATGTTATGAGTTAGTTTGTAACAAGTTACCTTTGTTTCTATTTTGAATCAACAAATTAATCCAGGCCATCAGTCAATGTCTTATAGAAATGTCATCACATTTATTATGAAGACCATCGTGAGAGCATCACTTGTAACTCTGGAGATTCTCAATGAATGCAGCGATCTAATGTGCACTTAAAAAGCATCAGTATGGCATTATCAAAGTCTATAACAACAACAACAATACTGCAGATGCTGGAAATCTGAAACAAAAACAGAGAGCTGGGAAAACTCAAATTCTGACGAAGGGTCATGGACCCGAAAGGTTGACTCACTTTCCTTTCTCCATAGATGCTGCCTGACCTGCTGAGTTTTCCCAGCTTTCTCTATCACAACAATTTGCATTTATATCACATCCTTCACGCTGGACAGTGCCTCAGAATGCTAAACAAATACCAAGCGTCTATACCAATATAAGCTGTGCTAGAATTTGAAATGATAAATAACAGAAGACTTGAGTCACCAATTTTCATTTCCAAGTCACTCTTTTTAGTTCATTTATAATAAAACAATTAATTTTTTACAAACAGATCAGTGTCTTAGCTGACAAAGGGAGTTTGCATTTCTCTACTGATAGGTAAGCATGGTACGTACGTCCCTTCACTAATGCCAGCGTCAGTTAATCTTACTTGCAACAAAACCAGGTCATCCAGACAGTTTAACATTCAGGGAAATCACAAGAATAAACCCTCATGCCTACCTGAGCAGACCTCTAAGTGGAGCCAGATATATTTCCATGGATCAATTTCCTCTTCAGCTGTGAAAAACGAGCTAACAACAAAAACAATTTGATCAGTTACCTTGCAACAAGTCTCCTTCAGTTCTACTTTGAATTAACAAAATAATCCAGAGCCATCAGTCAACGTAATAATTTCATCACATTTATTATGAAGACCATCGTGAGAACATCATTTGTAACTCTGGAGAGTCCCATATATTTTTTCACAAGTAATAATAATCCTTGGATTTGATATAGCGCCTATCACATCTTCGAGACGTCCCAAAGCGCTTCACAGAATATCCTGTAAAATGAATTGACTATATTTTGGGGGCGAAAAGCAGCAGCCAACTGCACACAACATTGTCCCACAAACAGTTATGGATTGAAATGACCAATTTTTTTTGGGTAGGAATTATTACCCCAGGAAAAGCGATCCCCCAATCGACTAACAACCAGGTTCCTACTTACTGCTAAGTAAACAGACGTGTGGAGAAAGAAAGCTTGCCCAACTTTTTGCTCTGCCGGGAATCGAACCCAGATTTCTCGCTTGCATGGCCTCACACCACTAAGCTACAGGACTCCATATGAACTAAACACTTGAAAATTGTACTTTATAAAAGGAACAAACAAGTATTATAGGGCTATTGTGTAATAATAATCCTTGCATGTTACACGCCTTGTCGCATCTTCGAGACGCCTCAAAGCGCTTCACAGGATATACTGTAAAGTGAATGGACTGTATACTTGGGGGCAAAACTTAGGTTAAACCAATGAACAGTGTACTAGAATTTGAAATGATAAACAGAAGATTAATTACCGATTTTCATTTCCAACAGTCACTCTTTTGTTCATTTATTATAAATCAATGTACCTCTACAAACATGTCACCGACTTTGCTGACAGAGGCAGCCATTCTTTCAGTTTGTAGAAGCACAGGCTCGGGAGAGATTGCATTCCTCTACTGATAAGAAAGCAAGGTACGTACATCTGTTTACTGATGCTAGGGTTAGTAAAGCTTACATGTAATGAAACCAGGACACCCAGACAGTTTAACACTCAAAAAAAGCATAAGATTAAGTAGCCCTCATGCCCACCTGAACAGACTGCTTAGCATTCCTGAAGACCCATGGATTCAGAAATATTTCCATGGAACACTTCCATCTTCAGCCATGAAAAACTAGCTGAAAACAAAGACAATTTGATCAATTACCTTGCAACAAGTCTCCTTCATTTCTACTTTGAATCAACAAAATAATCCAGAGCCATCAGTCAATGTCATAACAGTTTCATCACATTTATTATGAAGACCATCGTGAGAACATCATTTATAACTCTGGAGTCCGAATGAATGCATCAATCTAATGTGCACTTAAAGGCACAAGTACAGCATTATTAATCTATAAACAACAACTTGCATTTATATTGCGCTCTTCACCCGGGGTAGCGTCTCGGAGCACTTAACATATACTAAACTTCTCGTACATACCCCGTAAATAGACACCCAAGCCTCTCTGAAGAAATGGGACTATCTTCAGCAGAGATACTGCATTTCAGTGTTCAGTTTTGCAGCTCAGCCTAAAAAAAGGAACATTACAAAAGCCAAATGTAAATATCTTTTTTAAATTTAGGATATTGGATCACACCATCTAATATAGTATTAAATAATCAAAATGTTTCAATCCAATTTTAATTTGTTTTAATTAAACAAAGTGTTTTAAACAGCATCACCATCCATGGTTGCATACACCACCTAGCTAAGCCAGCCTGGAACTTTGGGGTCTTGTTTGACCCTCAACTATCCTTTGTACCCCACACCTGCGCCATGACCCGGTCTGCCTTCCAACTCTGCAACGTCGCCCGGCTCTTGACACTGTCTTACACCGCAGGCCGCCGAAACCCTCATACACGCCTTCATTACATCGAGGCTCGACTATTCAAACTCACTGCTTGTCGACCTCCCCAACTCCTCCCTCCACAGGCTGCAGATCATCCAGAACTCTACAGCCTGCACTAGGCTCCACGAGCCTACCACCCCATCCTTGCCCAACTCCACTGGCTTCCCATCCCACAAAGGATACAGTTGAAGATCCTGGTCCTCACCTTCAAAGCCCTCCACGGTCTTGCTCCCCCTACCTCTCTGACCTCCTAAACCCTAGCATAAGTAGCCCTCATGCTCACCTGAACAGATTGCTTAGCATTCCTGAAGACCCGTGGATTCAGAAATATTTCCATGGAACACTTATCCTCAGCTGTGAAAAACTAGCTGAAAACAAAGACAATTTGATCAGTTACCTTGCAACAAGTCTTCTTCATTTCTATTTTGAATCAACAAAATAATCCAGAGCCATCAGTCAATGTCATAACAATCTCATCACATTTATTATGAAGACCATCGTGAGAACATCATTTATAACTCTGGAGTCTGAATGAATGCATCGATCTAATGTGCACTTAAAAGCACCAGTACAGCATTACTATTATAACCAACAACTGGTATTGAATACCCCGAGTGCTTTCATTATAATTTTAAATTGTTCCAGGTGTTTTAAACAAGGGGTCAAAGGAACTTTTGATCACTAGTTATTTAACCAGATGTTGTCATTGGGCAGCTTCATCAAAGTTGTTATAAAGACCATCGAACATTTCCACATGTAATAATGAAATAAAACTGCCATGCAACTAATCCATGAAATACACCTGATTCTCTAATCAACAAATTTAACCATATATCTTGTCGCAAATGAACCAGGCATTTCAAAAAGTGTACTTTAAAAAGGAACAAAAAAATGTATTAAGTTATTATGCAACAGTGTCAAACCAAAAAATGGTGTACTAGAATTTGAAATAATGAATGAGAAGACTAGTTGCAAATTTTGTTTCCAATAAGTCACTCGTTTTAGTCCATTTATAATAAAACAATGAATCTTTACAAACATGTCAGTGACTTAGCTGAGAGGGAGCTACTCTTTCACTTTGCGGAAAGAGCAGGCTCAGGAGAGCTTGCATTTCACTAATGATAGGAAAGAAAGGCAAGCAAGTCCCTTTACTGATGGTAGGGTCAGTAAAGTTTACTTGTACTGAAACCAGGTCATCAAGTTTAACACTCAGGGAATCCACAAGAATAATTAGACCTCATGCCTACCTGAGAATACTGCTTGGCATTTCCGAAAACCCGTGGATTCAGAAATAATACCATGGAACACTTTCATTTTCAGCTGTGAAAAACTAGCTGAAAACAAAAACAATTTGATTGGTTACCTTACAACAAGTCTCCTTTGTTTCTACTTTGAGTCAACAAAATAGTCCAGAGCCATCAGTCAATGTCATATAACAATTTCATCATATTTATTATGAAGACCATCGTGAGAACATCATTTGCAACTCTAGAGAATCTCAATGAATGCAGCAATCTAATATGCACTTAAAAGCATCAGCATGGCGTTATTAAAGTCTATAACAATTTGCATTTATATCGCGCCCTTCACTCAGGGCAGCATCTCGGAGTGCTTAACTTATACTGAGCTTCTCATACATACCTGGTGAATGGACACCCAAGCCTTTCTGAAGAAATGGGGACAACCTGCAACAGAGATAATGCATTTCAGTCTTCAGCTTTATAGCTCAGCCTAAAAAAGGGGACATTACAAAAGCCAAATGTAAATATCTTTTTAAGTTAAGGATATTGGATCACACCATCTTATATGGTATGAAACAATCAGAATTATCATTTTAAATTATTCTAACCAGACGTTTTAAACGAGGGATAAATAAGAGGAAACTTTCTATCACCAGTTATTTAACCAGCCATATACTTTGTCACAATGAACTGGGCATTTGAAAATTGTACTTTAGAAAAAAGGAACAAAAATGTAGTATATATGTTATGTACTTTAGTATACGTTTGTTGTTATACAACAACAAAATTACATTTGTATAGCGCCTTTCACGTCGGGAGGACGTCACAGGGCGCTGGACAGTCAGTGTTTCGAACCGAGCTGAGGGTCGGAATTGGGGAGGGTGTAGTGCAGGGGGTGGAAGCAAGGTGATCGAAAAGAGGGTCGAAGAGGGTCTTGAGATGGCTCTTAAAGGAGGCAAGGTAGGGGGCAAGATGATGGCACTGTGGGATGGAGTTCCAGAGGGTGGGGGCAGAGTGGCAGAAGGCCCGCCCAAAGTAGGGCAGGCAAGGCGGGGGGAGTGAAGCAGGCCAGAGCCCGCTGAGCGGAGGGAGCGAGCAGGATGGCAGGTGATTAGGAGGTTGCAGAGGAAGGGGGCAGCAAGGCTATGGAGGGATTTGAAGGTGAGGACCAGGATCTTGAACTGTATCCTCTGTGTGATGGGAAACCAGTGGAGTCGGGCGAGGATGGGGGTGATAGGGTCACGGAGCCTGGTGTGGGAGATGACCCAGACTGCAGTGTGCTGGATGATCTGCAGCTATGGAGGGAGGAGTTGGGGAGGCCGACAAGCAAGGAATTTGCATGGTCAAGCCTGGTATAATTTATATAACAGAGTTAAACTAGTAAATAGTGAAATGGATTCCGGCAGTTCTATCATGTTTTAGCTGCTTTCTCAAAGAATTTTCTAAAAAAAATTGGTGAAATAAGGAGCTGATAAACTATACTTCCATATATTTTATCTCGTCTAATCAAACTCAGCCAACACTAATTAAAATTAAAAAAGCCAATTTCTCTAGAAAGGGATTTCACAGGTTTTTACTACTGAATACGACCATTGTGGTTACAAATCTAGAATCCAAAAACCATCCAAATACAACAATCCACTTAGCAGCACCAGAAGTGACCTTGATATATGCAATGCCACCAAAGAAAAATTACTGAAATTTACAATAAAATCAGCCAAAGGCACACACTGAAACTTTTTGTACTGTCCTTACTCAGCTAAACTGAAGACATGAGCATTTGAAGGATAAAGGATCAACACTGATTCTTAAGAGCCGTGAAGCCCTCAATATGAACTTGCGTCATGTCACACGTATGCCAAAACAGGTTTTCATGCAAAGGGTTTGATTAATATCTTATGTGGTTTCCAGAATTATCCGAGGTTAACTAATCAAGAAATGCCATTAGTGGATGCCTGCTAGCAAACAATTAACCCCATTACCTACCTAAACAATGAACTAGAAGCATGTCCCTCTTGGCTTGGCTGCCAGATGTATCCAATTGCGCTTCAGAAAAAAAACCTTCCAACACTGCACCTACTACGTAGTAGGATTCAATAGGTCACCTACACAGAATCTTCCCTCAAACAATGTTGAAGGAGCTACAATAAATTAAGGAATTCTGAATCTGAAATTCACCCTCTTCACAAACTGGGCTAAGTAGCCAAAGGTTCAATGAACCATTCTGTCTCACATTCCATTCTGAAGTGCTTTGCTGATTGCTAGACCACTTGGTTATTTAATGACAACATCACAATGTAATGATTTGCCATTGGATTCCAGCAGTTTGGCTGGAGTCACCACCAAAAACTTCAGAGAAGAAAACTGCAGTTGATGTTTCAACAGTAAGAAGCCAAAAATCACAAGATCAAGTTCTCCAAACTCTAGTCTTATCCAGTGGATTGAGTAATAAATACAAGGGCCAAATTTTACTAATCTGTCAGGGTGACAATAAGAGTACTTCATTTGGCTTCAGCGTCCCAGGCTAGCAAAGGGGAAAGAAAACTATCTCTGATTGTAATCTAATCCAAATCAGACTGAAGTGCAAATCCGCAAAAAGCTTAGGCTTGGTTTCGATGAATCCCATAGCCAAATCGCATTCAACATTAAATCACTCACAAGTGAAATATGGACTCCAAAGGCTGTCTCAAGGAACAGCACATGGAACTGTAGATAAATAGGGAGTTAACTAAGCACAACTTGTGCTGCCCCAAAGATCTAAAATCAATACTGCAAGTACACCATAAAGATAGTTAGACTACTGTAGCAATGCAATTCAAAAAACATTTGCGCAAGTTTATTTTCCTACAGTAACTAGTTGAATTTCTGACCATTGAGAACAGCCTATTTTGTAGTGATCAGCCAGATGCGCACAGCAACATTCCACAAACAGCCATACTAATATAATTTTAAAATAGATTTCTAATTCCTTCGAGTTTTGATGGTTTGTGTGTTTGCAGAGGGGGGTGGGGGCAGCAAAAATTCTTGCTTCTCTCAAGTTTTATCCCTTCTCGGTTCAAAGACACTTACCTTCACACCATTCAGCAAACAAGCCTTGATGCTCATGTTCAAACCTCCATCGTTCATTGACCTCGGTGGCAAAAAAGCAATTCTGCAGGAGGCAAGAATTCAGAGTTTATCTTTGGAACTGCTTTTGTTCTGTAGAATGAAACTTTCCGGGTTTACAATACTTCTAAAGCAAAAACACCATTTTAACAGGCATTGCAGTTGTATATTGTAACTTTGCTGCAGCAGTTGTATTCAGGCTGCCCATAGACCATTAACAGACAATGTTCTCACCAGCTGACTTACTTATAAAGACACAAGACTGGTTAAAATAAGCCTGTACTGCCTAATGAAGGTAACATTAGTTGGCTACTCTGCATGCATTTTTTTTAAGGTTTAAAAAAATTAAGCATTAGACGTGTGGTCCGTGGAGACATTCTACATTCCAGCTCAACGATACCGAAAAAAGTACCAACAGAAACACACACACACACGAGGAGAGCTTCACTATTGTAACCAAGCAACCTTTTCTTTAAAAAAACCATAAAAACTATTTTAACTAAAGTGCCTCAATTGTCATATTATTCTTTTAAGTTCTCATCTGTCCCGACACGTGTGTGTCTGTCTGTCTCTCTCTCTCTAATCCATACCCATTCCAGCAGCGCCATCTTCTGTGAAACTTGGCTCGATCCACGAGGTCAGGTCAGTCAGTCTGTCTCCACGTGGTGTCTGTCTGTTCCGAAAGAAGAGACAGTGAGTGAGTCAATAAATCTATTACGATATAAAATCAAATAATCATTGCGATAATTAAATCAAATGATTATTACGATGGTTCAATCAAACAATTGTTATTTATTTATTTCAAATCACATGGTCACGTCACATAAAAATCAGAACACAATTATTATAATGAATTCAAACGAGATTGCTATTACTTTTAATCAAATTAAATAATAACAACACCGATAATGATGATAATAATAATAATAATAGCGAGGCTTAAAAGTGGAAGGTTTCAAGGAGCCGCAGGTAACCGGTTAAACGTTTTTTTTATATACAATCAAACAAAAAAAACAAAACACAAAAAAAAACCCTGACCGAAAAGCCAACAAAATGTTCCAGAAACTTCGAAATCACTCCACGCACAGCGGGACACGACACGAGAGGGTTCGAAACTTTCTTTTATTTTTTTTATAAAAATAAAAAATATTTTTTTTGAAAAAAAATTCTTCGGATCAACCGACACGAACCGACGGTTTGTCGTTTCCCTTTTAAAACCGACCGAAGGCCCGAGAGGTGTGTGTGTGTGTGTGTGAGGGGGGGGTTTCTCCCCCATGCGACCCCCCCCACACACACACCCCCCAAAAAAAAGCCACTTCAAAACTCCAGGATTAATTCTTCTAACTCTCTCACCGAAATCAGGGAAAAGATTATTAATCGCCGCTTTTCCCCCCAAAACACACACACACACACACACACACGTGCGACTCCCTCCAGTAAAACTCGTGACTAATCAATGACACGTCAAATGTTTCGGTCTCTCTCTCTCTCTCTTTGGTCTCTAATAATAATAATTAATAATCACAGATAAACTAACCTTACTTGAGGTTGGGTCTGACTTGTCCCGGTGTGTAAAATAATTACACATCATCCATCCCCCCTCCCCCCACCCAAAAAAAAATCACCTCAGGTTTGTTGACTGTCATCATTTATTATAAAGTAACCCGCGAAGCTTTGTCACTTGACCGTGTGTGTGTGTAGAGAGATATATATATATAATCTATACAATGTATAAAATACACGAAACAACACAACACACACACAATAAAATATATAAAGTAACCTCATGGCGGAGGAGCTGCTGCCGCTTCCAATGGCGGTGAGAGAGAGAGAGAGAGAGACCGAGACCAGAGGGGGGAGGAGGGGTTCCGGTCTGGGAGCTGGATCACGTGATCGGGTTGGGGCGGGGTGTGTGTGTGTGGTGGGGCGGATTCACGCCCAATTGGGCGGTTTTTTTTTCTCTCTCTCCTGGTGACGGCGCGTTGATTTTTTTTGAAAAAAAACGGCTTTGGGCGGGTGGGGCGGGCCGGGGCGGGGGAGCCGGGGCCGGGGCCGGCGCCTGATTTTTTTCAAGTGTTTCTTTTTTTCAAAAAAAATGATAACGGTCAATCAATAATCATCAAAATATAATATTTTTAAAACATAAAACCTGCGAAAACCTTTACTAATCAGTGTCATAAGAATCAGTGTTATAATAACATCGGGCTACTGTGGGCGCTTCCGGAACTTTGGGGCTACCGACGTAGTTCAGGGCTGGTTTCCGGTCTGGTCGTCCCGCCTTCCGTCCCGGTTGCTAAGGCCGTTCCCGGGGCCTTGACTTCATGGTTCTCCCTCGGTTTCTGGTATCCTCGTTGCCTGCTTCCCCCCCCCATCCCCTCACACACACACACACACACACCGGGCTTTAGCGGATGGTTTCACTGGAAGACACAGACAGACAGACACAGACCGCACTGTCGCTTCTCCGGCCACCGAGGCCATGAACGTCTCCGCTTTCCAAAAGGTGGCCCTGGTCTCCTGTGTCGTCCTCTGTTGTTCCGTCGTCTTTCCTAAACTCTTCCTGGCCCGAGGGAAGAAGGCCGAGCCGAAGGAGGGTAAGGAACGGGAAGGGATTGTGAACGAAGGGAGGTGCGGCTTCTTGCTTTCTCCCAAAAAAACCATTTATTTTTTTATTATTTTTTTTAAAAAAAGACCATCTTCAGGTATATCTTCCTGCTCAAACCTCGTAATTTTCACTTCTAAATAATAATAATCCTTGCATTTGGTATAATAACAATCCTTGCATTTGGTATAATGATAATCTTTGCATTTGGTATAATAATAATCTTTGCATTTGGTATAATAATAATCTTTGCATTTGGTATAATGATAATCTTCGCATTTGGTATAATGACAATAATAATCTTTGCATTTGGTATAGTGCCTCATCACATCTTCCAGACGTCTCGAAGCGCTTCACAGAATACACTGTAAAGTAAATTGACTGTATATTTTTGTGGGGCAGATCTAAAGCCTTCACTTTAATTCTTCCGCCTTTCACTTTCGTCCCCCTTTTAAACATTCCTTTCGTTCATTACCCTTCTTCTTACTCATGCATTTAGGTTGCTCTCAGTTGGCCCTATTGAAATACCTGCTTCTTTAAAGCATTTGTTCATTTGTTCCCGATCAAATTCATCAAAAGTTGTTTCCCCAATAAAGTTTATTTACACAGTCTTGTTTTGTTTTTGTTTGTAACCTTATTCGTTCCCCTTCATTCCTCTTTCCAGTTCTTGCATTTTCAGGATTGTATAAACCCATTGGGTCGAATCCGCATCATTTATGGGATAAGGAGTTGGGAATGCTAGGGTAATAATGGACTGGGCCAATAGAAAAGTACGGAAATATTTGCCCAAAATTGCAAGGAAATTTGGCAGAAAATTGCGGGGGAGTGAATGATGCTATTCAGGTACATTTTACTGCCAACCTACATTTTTTCACTTTATTGATTTAAAAACTAAACATGAGGAAATAACACATATTAGATTGTTGCAAAACATATTTATTAATTTATTCTTTTAACAAAAACTGGATGACCCATTTGGGGAGGGTGGGGGGGGAACACCAGCCCGGGCCCAAAGGGCCAGGAGATCCGCCAAAAAACAATGTCCTGAGTGCAGGATTCAACACCTCCTGTATCTCAGGGCCCAACACCGCACACAGACAGACAGAGGAGACTCATAAACACACACACATATAAAGGAGACACACACGGAGACACCCTTACAAACACATGCATACACAGTAGAGTGAGACAGACACACAAAGACATACACATAGAGAGAGACACAAACACAGAGTCACACTCAAAACACATAGAGAGAGACACACACATACAGAGAGACACATAGAGAGACCCAGAATCACAACAGCAAGGTCTCTGAGTGGAGTGAAGCCCATTTCCAGAAACAGGCATGCGTGCCCGTCCACAGTTGTGGTGGGGGGTGTTGTTCTTCCCAGGTCCGCTCCTCGCCTCCTCGCAGCCCTGCCAACAGTGACGTCAGACAAACAACCAGGATTAGTGGGGCCAGAAACTCTCCAGCAGCTCCCTCCTACCTGTCCGACCTCCTCACTCCCCAATCCACCGCTCGGCGCCCTCCGCTCGACTGGCACTGGCCTCCTACTCGTCCCTCGTACTCTCCACCCCACCATTGTAGGTCGCGCTTTGAGTCACTACGCCCAGAAACTCTGGAATACTCTCCCTCAATCCCTCTGCCTTGCCTCCCTCTTTCGCCTTTTTCAAGTCCCGCCTGAAAACCTTCCTTTTCGACAATGCTTACAGCCACTTCCCCCCCCCACCCTTTGCCGGCTCGCGGTCAGGCTCCGTCACTGTTTAGCGCTCTGAGACTCTACCGTGCATGGAGGGTGCTAATGAGTGCAAGTGGTTGTAATCCTTGTGTCTTCAAGGCGTCAGAAAGTGCTTCATAGAATACACTGTAAAGCGAATTAACTGTATATTTTGTGGGTGAAACATGGCCACCAATTGCGCATAGCAGTGTCTCACACAGTTGTGGATTGAAGTGACCCAATTTATAGCGGATTCCGCAGAAAAATTACAGCCACACTTTTCTATTGGCCCAATTTCTACAAAATTGTAAAAAAAAGCCTGACTCACTCCTCAGACTTATTTAATTTTAAAAAGCCAGCGATGAAATTTAATTTCTCAACAAATTTGGTAGTTAGTAAAATGTAAAGTTCATCTTAAATTCCATTTGTATAAGTTAATTATTTTGCCTGTATGATTACTGAAATTGTATAAATGTTGTAGAATGGCATTAGAAAGCAGTTCCCAGGTTGAACCACTTTATGTCAAAAACAAATCCTGAGCTGGTAGCGTCCCTAGCGAGGAGACATGAGACTCATTTGCTAAGTCCAACTTCATTTTGACTGTTTTGTAAGTAACTCTCTTAATAACTTCCTAAAAGTAGTTCATTTGGAAATTAAGTAATCCAGCCGTGGTAGTAAATACATGATGTTGGGCTGGACTGAAAGAAAATCAGTGAACTTTAGCAATGGAGAGCTCCCCATAGCTCATTTGGTGAGTCAAGTTGTGCGAATCGAGCCAGGAGGGTCTAAGGATCAATTCCCTGTCTAAAATCAACCACTTTGCCTACAAATATAGTCACGATTCTTTGCAGAAAGATGCTCTCAAACACTTAGATGTTTCAACGTTATAGGTACTATATTAAATTGCATTACAGTATTACAATTTACATTTCATTCCCTTGAGGGGGCAGGGGAAAGTCATGTTATCAATTGATCCCAGCTGGAAAGCAAACGACTCATTTGGACAAGTTGAGTATTGTGGGAAGGATTATGCTCCACAATAGAAGCAAAAGCCTACCAACTCATGTGAAGGTCACTTGGGCATGTCAGGAATTCGGCACCTTCAAGGAGGAGGGAGAGGAGACAAAACCATCTGACAAGCCAGTGATTGATCTGGTACTTAGTGTGCTACATTCACATGGGAAGTAACCTGCAAATTGACACCCAAGTCACTTAATCCCAGTAACTGAGTAGATCTTCTGTAGTATATGCTGTATATAAAATAAACGCACACCGGTTTGTTTCACGGGATCTCTTTAATTTAGAAACCTATATGTATATTGTATATGCTCATATGCAACTGTAATGATAGCAAAAGCAGCCCAAAATATTTTTTGAAAAGAAAATTACTGCTTACCAAAGGACGACAAGTTAATGTTTATTCAGCTTTTGATTTAGTCAAACTACACCAAGTTGTTTTGTAATCCTTATCCAAGCAGTTTCTGTCGATAACAGAAGGCAAAATACTGCAGATGCTAGAAATCTGAAATAAAAACAGAAGTCACTGGGATCACTCAGCAGGATAGGCAGCATCTATGGAGAGATGAAAATGAGTAAACATTTCAGATCGATGACCTTCCATCATCTGAAATTTTAAATTACATTACAAGCTTCTCACCGAGAGTTCTATTGTTACATTTTGCATAATAATTGAATTTGACACATTTACAACCACATATTTTGAGAACACCATTGATTTAATAAAATGGTTTAAAATGTACTCTTGAAATCAGCTAGGCCATGTACTAATGTTAATACTATGTTGAAATTTCCATAAGTTTTCTTCTATGTTGAAATAAAATCAAAATTGATGTTTACAACAAAAAAAATCTAGTTGAGGCCATCAGGGTATTGATTTAAATGATCTGTACACACAGCCTATTCGTGATCGTACATAACATTGCATTCAATGATACTCAGGGCTTTAAAAAGGGTTGGGAGCAGAACCAGGCATTTTATTTTATCAGTGTGCCCCTCAGAATAACTGACTATACCATTTGCATTACTATGCTATCATAACACTCCATGTTGTTCTTGGAACCCTCCAGTTTTGATAAAACATTTATCTAACCATAGTCTGGTCAGATTGAAAAGCGTCTGTTGGCCAATGAATTTATACTGTATCTCTGGTTGCACATAAGTCAGCAAGTTATTATCATCTATAGCTCCACAGAGGAATTTAGGAACAGGAGAAGGTCATTCAGCCTACTCATTCCTCCCAGACACAGTCCATTCCATGGCACAAAGTACAGCTTCCCTTCCTAAAATAGGAGCACAAGAATTTAAATCAAATTTATCTACAGTCGAGTGCAGTCGAGCCTAAACAGAACCAAAAGCCAGACAGAGGGTAGGAATTTTCCCCCCGTCTACAGGCAATGGAAAATAGTTTTGTCGTACCAAAATAAAACCTTGATTTAGCCAGGATGCATAAGCCAACAAACCGTGATCTTAAAAAAAATTACAAGAAAAAAGCAATTTTGGAACTTACAGTTTGGGCTCTGTAGGTCAGATTAACTCATTGGCACATTGAGAGATTAGGAGGTGCAGAGCTCTATTGTAGGAGAATGTTGTGAGTACTGCTGCTACAAATCTGATTTATCAAACTATTGTACAGTATGGCTTTACTCTATGTTAAATATAAACCTGTATCTAAATGAAATCGTACAGGGATTTTTGTGTGCAGTCCGATTTTGATAAATGGGTAATATCTACGATGGAGTATTTCATTTGGTAGGTTGAATAAAGTAATTTAAAAACCATCAAAAACGTCAAACATCCTCCGACTGCAGCTGTCTCCCTTTAACCTTTGAAGGCTGCAGCAGTGCTTCTGCCACAAAATGAAAACTGCAACACAATTACAATTTTTCGTTTGATTTTTGAGATGAGTCCAACCCAAAGCATCGCTTTCTGTGGTGGTTCGGGTTTCTTTGACTCCACTGATTGGTTTGACGGGTTCCTGCTTGGACAGTGTAGAAGACTGGTGAGCAGAGCTGCTTGAGCACAAAGTGGAAGCCAAGAGTTTAATTAGCTTGTGGAACTCGAGAATGGGAGAAGTTATTGTATTCGTTGACAGATCGATCGCACAGTGGTGGTCAGGTGGGAGGGGTCGCTCTTTGAATTCAAAACATTAATGTGGGATTGTCAACACAAAATGTCAGATCACTAGCCAAATTAAATATTTTTTACCGCACTAAAGTGTGTGGGCAAGTTTTTGGATTTATGTTGTCAGCCACTGGTGGAGTGGGTCCCAACTGGACAAGGAAAAGCTCAGTCAGGCTTGTACTCAGCCTGAATTACTCAGCCAAGTAATTCAGGGAAAATAAAATCAAGTTTAAAGCAGGAAAACACACAAAAGAACTATTGAATAGCCATAGTTTGACTTAAATCAGTTGAACGTCTCGTTGAAAAGACTGCATCTGAAACAATGCAACACTCCCCAGGATTAGGTCAAGCTCGACATCTAGGCTGACGCTCAGTACAGAGCTGAGGGAGTGCTGCAATGTCAGAGATAATGTGCTCAAACTGCGGTCCTTTCTGGTGAATGTTTTTAAAGAAGTTGACTATATGTTTCATTGTGGTTTGCGGGTGCTCTTGGTGCAGATCAGTTGCTTTGCTTGACTACATAACAGTGCAACGGTGCACAGCAAGAGGAGAAAAAAAATACCTTTTTAAGAAAGATTTGCGAGTAAGAAAATTTCAAATACATTCTCTCATTTTTGAACCTTTCCATTTATGTGACTGAGCATTTAAGTGCCGAGGGTCACGCTTTGAAAACGTGTATGTGAGTATACATTTTCCAAAATGCAACATCCACAAATGGTTTTCCAATTTGGCCGACTTTAAAGTAAGAATTTATGGATGGCAATTCAGGGTTTCTGTTGCCACTTACAGAGTCATAAAATTAACCAGTCAGAAAATGAATCCAGTTTGAAGTTTGTAAGTCAAACTATTAAATATAGTATAGAGATGCCACTACAGGACATCTTTCATCAGATTATGAGCCAAATGAAAATATACTCTGCCTGATGTTTGAACCAGCAAAAAAGTCTTCATAGGAACACTAAAATGGATACATTTTCATTTGCTGTATGTTCTCTGAATAAAAGGTAGAAATATTGAGTGAGTATTCTTTCTTTCCAACATCCCATCTCCGCATTGTCACATTTGACAATTCTTGCCATTATTAAGTTAATGTGTCAGCTTGGCTCAGTAGTAGTACTCTTGTCTTGGAGACAGAACTTCGTGGGTTCATGTCCCATGTCAGGACTTGGAACCTCAATGTCCAAGATGACGCTCCAATTCAGTGCTGGAGTTGTATTGCATTGTTGGAGGTGCTGTCGTTCGGATGAGACGTTAAATGGAGGTCCCATCTGCCTGTTCAGATGGACATTAAAAATCCCATGACACTATTCGAAAAGAGAAGGGAGTCTCTCCCGGTGTCCTGGCCAACAATCCCCACAATACAATCGGTGGCTCACTCCACGGGTGTCCTCATTTTCCTTCATCTGGGAAAAGTAGGAATTTATTGCAGTAGCCACTAAAAACAATTAAGGGGTAAACTTCAGTAAGGGATGAATAGTTACACCCAACATTTAATAATCATGCTAATAATCATTTCATATTAGTGTCCTGTGTTCTGATGTACTAATTTATTTGAACAGGCAACAGTAGACTCCTGATTTGTTCTAGCAACGTGTATAAAACAGTATCCATTGGAGTGAGAGCCAATATTCCAGTTGGAGATCAGACAAGATCAACTATTTTTAAACTCAGCAATCAGCTAATACAAAAGTAGAACACATTATTGGTATGCCAGTAGATGTCACTAAGATAATATAGTGAATCCTTAATATCTTATTTACTGAGCATTTCAAAAACATCCAATAGAACATCACCTATGTGCAACCTTTGTTTGCCTTGACTTTGTAAATTGTTTATTTGTCCAGATGTCAAATGCATATGGAACCCATCTTGCTTAAGGGTATCCAAACTACTAGATTTGAGAATACCAAAATACAGATGTGGAATGGAGTGCACATGCTCCCCAGAGGGATAATGACCACTTCACTTAAAAATTATTTAATGCCACAAGGTTAGATTTCACTTTCACTAAAAGCACTATTGCTATCAGTGAACAATATCTATCAAGAGATTGAGATGTGAAACATGGCTCCCTGAATCCTTCAATAATAATCCTTGCTACAGCATTTGATACGATTGAAATATCTAAGTGCTTCAAGGCAATTAGTTTCCTGTCAAGTCCTCAGTTGGCTTATAGCTATCCGTTAGGTTTCCAATTACTTATTTACACATAACAGAATGAATTTCAAGTTTTAGTGTAGTGACTATATTAGTAGGAAAAACACAGCAGCCAATTTGTGAACAGCAGTATCCCACAAACAGCCAACTAAATGACTAATTTAACTGGAGGATTATTGACTATAACATCAGGATAACTCCCTTTTCTTTTTGGATAGTGCCATGGGTTCTTTAACATCCACTTGTATAGACAGATAAGACATTGGTTTCACATCTGATCCAAAGCAGTGCTGTCCAACCCGGTAACCACTGGCCACATATATTCCAGCTTTGAGATGTTTTGACATCATAAAGTGACAGAAGATCCATTTCAATCCCACAAATTGAAATCCCACAAGTTGATTCATTAGTGTGAAAGTGGCCATATCTGAAAACCCAAAATAGCCAAATATGGCAGAAGGCCCTGGGTTTGGAAGAACTGATCCAAAGGATGGCATCTCTAACAATGTTGTGCTGTCCCCAAACTGCATTGGTTTCAGCCTAGATCAATATGCTCATAAAGTCCCCAATGTGGACCTGAACCCGCAATGTTCTAATCCAGAGGAATGAGTACCACCAGTGAAGTCAGGCGAACATCTTCGCCTCTAGGTGCATCATAAGCCTTTTGAAGCTTTGCCCATTATGTTTTTCTCTCCAATAATAATGCTAAGAAAAAATAAGCGCAGAGCACAGAATTTAGACGATCTAGAAGCCTTGATTTAAAATGTATTTTAGGTAAGCGAGATAAAGGGAAATGACTGCAGTAATTTTGAAGATGGTGCAGTAAGCACTGTAGAACTGAAGGTGTTAAATTGAGGTTTAAGTGCAGTAATGCGATTCTGAATAAATCTTCAAACAATTAGTGTGTAGAGAGATCTTGGTTTGCATCAATCAAAATGTATAAAATTGGCTTGAAATTGGAAATAGTATTGAAACACATCAAACCTTTGAAATATGGCATTTTTAAAAGAGTTTTGTTGACTTTCGATTTTGAAAGCAGTGTTAAGTTCCTCAGTTGGCTTGCAGCTAACCAATAGTTTGCAATTACTTATTTATGCATAATAGATTGAATTGCACTGTAGAATTATTGCCTATTTTAACAGCCATAAGAAGGGTAATACCCAAGTGATGGGCAGAGTTGGCAGAGATGTAGCCAATTGTACAGAATGATTAACCTATTCACAGCTGATAAGCAAAATGCCAGAAAACTTATCAGATGCAATTTACATTATTTAAAATACTGCTCTCTCGGGTGCTTATGCAGATTAATTCTATGAATACTGAGTGACATATTATAATACTTTCACATCTGGTAATGAAAGAGTAGACAGTAGATTAACATTTGCAATAGTTATTTATACAAATGGTAACCTAGCAACCGAAGACAGTATCAGCGGAGGCTCAACAAAAATTAAGATGAGAGTCCTTTGATCCCGATGACAACAAATTGGGAAAAGATGAAGTTTTAAATTTCTACTTGTGGTAGACATTTTGCTCTTTTTACAGTTTGTACATAACGGTTATTTTTTGCACATCCGGGTTTGAAGATCCTTCAGAGGATCCAGTTAAAGATTCTGGTACTCACATACAAAGCCCTCCATGGTCTTGCCCCACCCTATCTCTGCGACCTTCTAACCCCCTACCAACCCACCCGTTCCCTCCGCTCAGCCGGCTTCAGCCTGCTCCACGTCCCCCACCCACTCGCCCCATCGTTGGCGGGAGAGCCTTCAGCCACTCTGCCCTCAACCTCTGGAATTCCATCCGCCTCGCCCCTTCCTTAGCCTCCTTCAAGTCTCACCTCAAGACCCTCCTCTTCGACCATGCCATCGGCCACCCCCTTTTCTCTCCCCTCCCTCCCCCTTGATCCCAGCTTGGGTCTGAAATGTTGTACTCTGTCCAGTGCCTTGGGACGTCCTCCCGACATGAAAGGCACTATACAAATGTAATCTTGTTATTGTTGTTGTTGAACTCACATAGTCTAAGCTGACACTCCTATGCAGTGCTGGGGGTGTGTTGCATTGTCAGAGATGAAACGTTAGACTTCCGATGAGACGTTACACTGCGATTCCATCTACCTGTTCAGGTGGATGTTAAAGATCCCATGGCACTATTCAAAAAGAGAAGGGAGTTTCTCCCAGATGTTCTGGCCAACAATCTCCCAAATAAAATGGTCATTAGTTTCTTGGCTGTTTGTGGGACATGGCTGTGTGCGGGACATTGCTGTGCGCAATTGGGCTACTGCATTCACCTACAAATATACAGTCCATTTCACAGTAAATCCTGTGAAGCGCTTTGAGAGATCCTTCCGATGTGATTAGGTGTTATACCAAATGCAAGGACTATTATAAAGTGAGCAGCAGTTTGACTGCCCCTGATGACTCTGGGTAAATGCACCATATTGGTGGTACAGATCAGGATGGTCCCAACTTCGATCCCTCCTCTGTACTTGCCTGATCTCAGGTAATTTGGGCTGGGGGCACTATATTTCACCCATTTGAGCTCATCCTTCCAGAATACCAACACTGCCATCTTTCCATTACACCATCAAGCAATTTATTACTCAGACAGGAAGGGGATATCAAAATTCAACTGAAGGCAGGCTGGCAGAATATTGCAAATATATTGACCATCTCAAATTGCACTTTGATGAAAATTAAAAATGTACTACATTCGTGGGTAGCAAAAGTTTAAATGATTCTCATCTTCTATGTTTTGCAGCTAACCCCAGTCGATTTCCTCCCACGATGCAGCGCCCAACAGGTTTTGACAGCAAATCAAGCAAGTCGGCCAATTCTCATTTCCACAATGCGGAAGCAATGGTCAAAGCCAAAGGTGTTGGAGGAGGCAATAAAAACATCATGGGCCAGATCATCCCCATTTACGGATTTGGAATATTTGTTTACATCCTATATATCCTCTTTAAGGTACTGTGGAAATTGCAATTCAGTATGTGTTTCGATTTGGATTTTTGTTTTGATGTCATAGAATGGCAGCAAGTCAATCACCCACGTTCAAAGTACAGAGTGTTAGGAAGTAAATTCAGCCTTTCGATTTGCCAGGCAGCAAGTTTCTGATATTGCAATATCTTCAAGGGCCGCTCTCGAACTATAGCCATTACATTTAACAGTAATTATTGGGAGGCATTTAAGACATCGATATGACGCTATATCAAATGCACATATTTTACTATAGAGGCATCATCTGGAAGTACATTTTCCATCTATCCTCACGGCCAAAAAGAGGTGACATGGAGAAAGGCTAAACATTTTTATAACTAGTATTTTAAGTGCATTCGTTGATGATAGAAAAAAAGTTATCAAGAGTGGCAAAAACACAAAGTTTGCCAAAAAGCGAATTTCTCTATAATACCTTTAAAACACAAAATTGTATTTGGCTGCATCTCTTCCAACAGAGAAAGAGCAGGGGAATGGAATTAGAGTAGATAATAATAATAATAATAATCCTTGCATTTGATATAGCGCATTTCACGTCAGAAGGACGTCCCAAAGCGCTTCACAGAATATACTGTAAAGTGAATTGATTGTATATTTGTAGGCGAACGCGGCAGCCAATTGCGCACAGCAATGTCCCACAAACAGTCGTCGATTGAAAATGACTAATTTATTATTGTTTTGGTTTTGGAGGGATTATTATTAGGCTCTGTGTGGAGTAAGGAAACTTGCCCAAGGTTTCGCCCTCTGCCTGGAATTGAACTCAGGTCTCTCACTTGCAAAGCGAGTGCTCTAACCACTGAGCTACAGGACTCCACGCTCCAGCAGTGGAGCTAGTCTAGCTAGCTAGATATGTTGGATGCATGGCCTTCTGTACTGTAAACTTTGATTCATTACATTCATATTAACATAATAAGATTAATCCTTGCATTTGATATAGCACTTTATCACGTCTTCAAGACTAGCTCTAATATTGAGACCATTTTGTATAAGACTATAAAAGGTAGCGTACCTATCCTCCAGTGATTCAAAAGGTGCAACAGTGAGCAGGCTTAGGGCAGATACAGAACTGGTGGGGAACAGAGGTTGACAAATTCCCTAGTTTTAAGTCTTTAGAGTTCAAACAGTACCAGTCACCTTTCATTCCTCCTGCAGCTTTGATTTGAACTGGTAAATCAAAGATGGGGAGGTGGTTGGGGGGAGTGGAAGGTCGATCATGCACCAATCGCTTAAAGTAGCAATTTCTTTGTTGGTTCTTTGTAATGAAAAATATATTACAATGTATTATGCATTTCAGAAAGACATCAGTGCACTGCAGTAAATTATTCCAAATTGTGAATTGCTGAAAAAGAGGCAATGAGATTGGATTTACTGGCAGGGAGTTCATTGTAAGGGAATGCGAGGTGCTTCAGTCTGGCTCAATGGCAGCACTTTTGCCTCTGAGCCAGAAGTTTGTAGGTTCAAGCCCCACGTTGGAACTTGGAAACATGTCATCTAAACTGACAATCCAATGCAGTGCTGGAGATGTTTTGCATTGTTGGAGGTGCCTTCCTTCAGATGAGACGTTAAACCGAGGTCCCATCTCGCTTTTCAAGCAGACGTTAAAGAACCCTTTGAGAGCTTTGAGATGTCTTGATGACGTGATAAGGCGCTACATCAAATGCAAGGATTATTATTATATAAATTGTACATTAAGGATGCTTGTACCTTCAGAGAAATTAACTAACATTTTGCATACATAAGCCAGTCAATTATTGTACAAGTCATTTATGTATGTGATATAACCCGCAGAACATCTGGCAGTAACTTGGCAACAGTTACTTTACTTTTAATTTTACGTGGAGTCCTTTATGTATGTGATATAAAGTCATTTATGTATGTGATATAACCCACAGAACATCTGGCAGTAACTTGGCAACAGTTATTTACTTTTAATTTTAATTTTACATGGAGTCCTGTAGCTCAGTGGTTAGAGCACTCGCTTTGCAAGCGAGAGACCTGAGTTCAATTCCAGGCAGAGGGCGAAACCTTGGGCAAGTTTCCTTACTCCACACAGAGCCTAATAATAATCCCTCCAAAAAACAATAATAAATTGGTCATTTTCAATCCACGACTGTTTGTGGGACATTGCTGTGCGCAATTGGCTGCTGCGTTCGCCCACAAATATACAGTCAATTCACTTTACAGTGTGTTCTGTGAAGCGCTTTGGGACGTCCTCCCGACGTGAAAAGCGCTATATCAAATGCAAGGATTATTATTATTATTATTTTAAAAAGACAACACATAGCCATCAATGAGTTAAGATCCAGCAAGGAATCCTACCTCAGTACTGTGCCATGCATTGGAGAACTGGATTTGAGAACCACTTCTACAATGGTTCTGGTTCTCATTTTAACTGGAACATTAGTTTAACATTTAATTGACCCAATTCCAGCTTGAATACGTCCACATTACAAAATGTTCTTTAGAGCTCACCCCTAGAAGTAGAAGAAATTATGAGCTTTCAAAAGGTGAAGTTTAAAATGGAATTGAAAAGCTGAAGTTGCGAGCCTCTCTTATCAACAAGTACTAAGCACTGTACTCTTTCTAAAGAAATTAACATTTGCATTCCATTGTTGTAAATGTTTAAATGAGATCTACCATTATTTCCCTCAGTGCTGAGCTTTGACATTGATTAGCTGACAACTAGCAAATCTCAAAAGGCACTGAGGTATCACTTTCTCTTCACTTAAAATCCGTTCATTGTTTTGTAGCCTTATCCTCAGTTTTTTTGCAAGTGTGATGCACTGGGCAGAATCTTTGCATTCTTCATCATCTTTTCACTGGTTCATAGTCTTTGAAAGATATATCTGTGTAGAAATCCTTTGGAGATTGCAGTTTTAGAGGACAAGTGTTCATGAAACCTGCCGTTCATAAACAGATGATCTGAGTTGATACATTGCCTCACTGCTTCCAACGACATGGATGGCCCATCAAGTAAGGTCGCAACCTTGATAGGGGCATTTACAGAGGTTTCAAAGCCTTCAATTTGTCAATGACGTCTTATTGTACTGTAGTCCAATCCAGTATCTCCTTGATTGATGATGCGTTTGGTGCAAAAGGCACTAGATGGATGGTTGTCTCGGATATCTCTGGGTGGGCTGGAGCAGTCATCTGGAATGATAGCCATCTTCCACTATTTCTGCATCAGCTGCCAGTACCAAGTTTACAGCCAGCCATTATATAGGATTGAGGTCATTCTAGGCACTGTCCTTGCCTTGGTGAGTGATAGTAAAGGTACCAATTCCCTTGGAAATAAAAGAATTTAACGATTTAATTATGAGCAGATTTCTCACCTCTTTCATGTTGCAACAAGCATTACATATGTACTAACTACTCTCACGGGCCTTCCTGTCATCTTGAACCATTGTCTACAAAGGGAGAATACAAAAAAAATCTTGAGTTAAAAAGTTTTCGGGACTACACCTATGGCCAGTATCCAGATAGAAATTGTTTCCTCCCTGGTCAGTCATACTAACAGTTCATACCCTTAACACCCATGAGTATGCAATATGATCCTAACATTTACCAAGCCATCCAATTCAGGTATGTTTTTCTCAGTCTCCCTGCAATCTTTCTAGTATAGGGAATATGAGATCATAAGCGCCTTAAGAACAAAGCCTTTTTAAAGAAAATAAATCAAGATTGGTCTTGAAGAACACTTTGTGACCCACTTGATCTCATCTTTCCAGAATACAAAGTGGCCATTAAAACTTCACATTGTTTTACATGGTAACAATTCAAGCCATCCTTGTAAGCAGATGTCCATTTCAAGTGAACTGCGTGATGTACTCTACTCACTGGTCCAAAAAGGCATTTCTGGAATTTAGTGAAGCAATACGTATCGTGTTGCACTAAACGAAAAGAAATGGATTGGATGTCAATGATTCGATTACAAGTCAGCAATCATAATAAGCAGTTTCTACCCAGCTTTGATTGCTCACATCATTGCATTCAGTTGATAGTTCCGCAAACGGGGACATTGACTGGAGATTTCAATGCAATAGTTAATTTGGAGATCTGACAGATGCCGGAGCTGTATAATTGAAGTTTAATTTCTATATCTGGGAGATAGAATAACCCACAACAGGCATGCAAAAGCTTTTCCAGCATTGTGTAATCTGTCTGAGAGAAGCAATGTGATGATTGAATTTTGTGCATCAGATACCTTTGAGCAAAGGTAAAAATAAGATCCAATACCAGGGAAGGAGGATTGATGCAAATGAAGTACGTTCAGTGTAATAACATGCCCAATCTATTTAGTCAGCCTTTGATTTAACACCTTGAAAGGAAACGGTACATAACATTCAAATATGCATCAGTATGGCTTTTATTAACTTGTGATTTAACTCGGCCAAGCTTCTCTGCAATGATAGACTAATGCTGTACTGCAGGCTGGGCGTTCCTGCAAACCTGTAGTAATTATTGTCTGTCGATCAGATTCCCATTTTTAACAGCAGCAATAAAAGAATGACATCCAGCATGTTGTGTAAGTTTGATAATTAAACACACTGTACTGAATTTGGGGGGGAGGGGAAAGTATCCTAAAGCATCAACTCCAAGGTCAAATATTAATTTGTAACACTATTTGAAACATTTCCAATAATGATTTTCTGCATTTTCCAACTGTATTCAATTAGTCTCTTACCTCAGGAAAGGTTATCATTAATGTTATATTCCATGGTGACTCGTATAGTGCAATACAACTAAAAGTAGGTCACACCATGACATGGAACTCGTTTTTATTACTAAGTATAACCAGCATGCATGTTCTAATGCTACATAAAGCCACTACAGTAAAGTATACAATGATGAAATAATGGAGATTATATTAGTGCCTATTGTGGAGTTTATGTAGTTATATACTGCCAAAAAAAAAACTGGTATTATAACAACACATGTTCAATGATGCCTCGTACCTACAGAATCTCTCTTACCATTTTATGACTCTTCACATCACAAGATCAGTCACGATAAAGAAGGTCGTCCGGCCCATCTCATCCCTCCAGAACACCCACCCTTTCATCACCCCCATCACTGCATCAGGCTGCTTTTTAAGCTAGTGCAGTGTCCTGGCCTCTACTACCTTTCCTGACAACCTGTTTCAGTCATTCATTACATTCTGCATAATGAAAAACTTCCCAGTCTCTGTCCTGAAATTGCCCTTTACAATTCTAAATTCATGTCCTCTTGTTTTACTGTCTTGATGCATTATAAACTATTGACATCAGTTTACTTTTTCCCAATCTCATTTACAATGTTATATACCTCAATGAGGTATCCTTCAGAGTTGTCTTCTCCTAAGACGGAAGAGCCCCCAGTTGTTTAATCATTGCTCAAATGTATCACATCACCCGTTTCTAAGTGGTGAGAAGAGTTTAAACAATTTTTATAATTAACATTTAGACTAAGTTATACGTACATCAAATGTCTGGCAAGTATTTAAGAGCAACATTCAAACATGTGCATTTTGGTGTGTGTATTGCATATTGTATTATAGTTATAACTTAATAGCAGTTTCACCCACTAGACAATTGGGCCATCTAGAGACCCATTCACCTCTAAAGACTCACCTTCAACCATATCTGTTTCACTGTTCATTATGCCTGAATCTTTGGAATTTCCAGGAACATATCTAGTTCCTTTTTATGAAGCCCTTTGTAGTTCCTTAGGATAAAGAGGGGAGAATATAAATCGGCAGGAGAGAGAACTCTGCTCTCCCCCAAAAAACAGTAAAACACATGTTGGGTGGCTCTCATTAACAATGTCAAAGGTTCTGCTGAAGCAAGGTTATGCTGGCAAGAGAGAGGTTTCTCTTTATCCAAAATGAAGAATTAAATTCTTCCTCCTTTGATACGTTTATACTATAATGTATACATTTTGTCTTCCAGATATCGGCCAAAGGTTCAAGTCCTCAAATGAAGAAGAAATGTGCCAGTACAAGGCCTGGAAACAAGAAGCGGAAAATTAGTACGTATCAGATAACATTCTATCTTCCTGACAGGGCAAGCCACATAAAACATTTCTAGTTTAATTTCTCATGTCTATTAAGACTTAATTTTTTTTTGAATTCCATTCAAATTCAGTGCAACCAGCCAACCTCTGCTCAAGCCAAGCGGTGGACTGTTAACTGCTGAGATGCAGTAAAGAACATGCAGTAGAGCTCAGGAGCGCACTTTTTATTAATTCCAACCCTAGATCCTTACAAGTTAAAATAAACAGAATAGGCAAGGGGGAGGGGAGAGTCAAATTGTGATATTTCTACACGTTTTTCATCCTTTGATAGAATGAGTTTAAGAATACCACAGTTTGGCCCCAAGAATCCCATTCGCTGTGTGTCTGGGGGTTTCAGCCTTGTAAGCAAGTGGTGCCTTACCATTACAAGCAGAGGCAAAGCTTTAAGCGTAACATTTAACCAGATCTGCTGGACGTGACATCTCCACACAATGTGTTTTGCAGCCGATTACGAGCTGGCTCAACTTCAAGAAAGGCTGAAAGAAACCGAAATGGCCGTGGAGAAAATCGTATCCAAAATGGGAAGCGGGTCAGATGAGTAAGAATCCATCATCCTGCTTAAAATGGTCTTTTACGAGCATTGCAAATCATTTTAAAAACATGGTGTTTTTCTGCCCTGTGTGTGCTCCTTGTAGCACACTCACTGCTGTGGGATTTAAGTGCTAATCTGCTCCGTTCGGTAAATGTGGGGAATTTGTCCCCACATGCTTATAACTCATAGATTTTTACATTATTAAACATGTAAAATTAAATTGTAGTCCTAAAACAAATGCACTAGAATGATTTACAGCACAAGCGTGCACCGGGACAAATTCATGAAATTTACTGACCAATGCTGAATAGCCCACATCAAAGCATGTGCTCTGTGGAGCGGAGTAATCTGGGATCCTAGTGCTATAGTTATTCTGCAGCTCATTCATCAGTAAAGACCTTGTGCTATTGCTAAAAGACAGTAATTGCTATGGGATTAAATGGCATCTTGAAGTATGTATCAGGGTCCACTCCCTTAACACTTGAATGCAAAGCCATGACTTAAAATGATTTGTATCTCGCTTTGGAAACTAAGAGGTTATGGTGGATAATGTTTCTGAATCTGTATAATAAATAATACTTGCATTTGATAAAACGCCTTATCACGTCATTGAGACGTCTCAAAACACTTCACAGAATATACTGTAAAGTCATGTCACTTTACCGTATATTCTGTGAAGTAAAATAACTGCATATTTTGTGGGTGAAAATGATCTGTGTCTTGCTTTGGATACAAAGGGAGCTCACAGCGGATAATATTTCTGAATGGGTTTGAAGTGTGTTTATTACTCATACATGCAGGTTGAAACACCTGATCAAACAGGAGGGTTACTGTCATATTGGAACTCCTGGCTTGCGAATATTGGATATTCCCGTTGGTCAGTTCAGAATCCCAAACCGATAAAGGCTAAAAACTTACTGACTAGAGTTTTGCTCAGCCAACGTTTTGTGGGAGTTACCCATCTTGGGATATTTGTGTGTGAAATTTAAAATCCACATTAACTCAAGAATATTAAGTCATGCTTGGGATGGTTAAAGTTTCAAAGCTCTGTTACGTCTTCTGATTAGAACTGTACTAAAATGTTGTCAGATCCAATTAAGTGTGCGGTATCATTGTAACTTAAATAGAGCATATTACCATGGGGAGCATGATAACTATCGCATCAAGCAAATAACTCATGTACAGGGTGACCAAAAAGTTAAGATACCATTACAATGTAGTTATCACAACTTTTTGGTCACCCTGTATAAGTAAATTGTGATCGAATTTGGCATTCGCCTTGTGAGTGAAGATACGTATGTATTGTATAATATTTATTATTTATTATATCCCTTTGCTGGCTAGGAGGTGGAACAATAGTACTGGTACATTTAAGCTCGGGGAAGGAAATCATTTATGAATTCCCTGGAATATGTGAAACTCAAGACCGAGATCTTCATTGAAAAAGATAAATGCTAAAAAAAGGTCATAAAATAAAACCTGAAAATGCAAGACCCATTAACAGTGCCCTCCAGTGGTGCATAATGGTTTGGGGATATAGAGTATTTCAACCAATTCTCTGTGCTGCGGTAGTGCATATAAGGTCCTCTAGTGGTCTGCTATTGCATTACTGTATCAGAAGATTTTGGTTCAGGCACATTAAATCAGATGTGCAAGTCCTAACACAATAGCCATGATGAAGGTTGCTGTTGCATTAACAGTATTTTTTTTTACTTGATATAATCCTTCCCAGTGTATATTCGAAACCTGTCGTTCACAAACTTGAACCTGTGCTTTCTTGTCCTGCTTATATGTCCCTATAAAGGTTTTCTATTGAGATGTCTCTGAAACTGATGCCCTAGGTTATCTGGTGATTCCTTATAAAATTGGGGGGGAATTAGATTGATTGACAGGCTCTGTTCTGTCTCTAGGGCCTTGACAGCTTACGCCAGTATGTAGTACTCTAGCCCTCATCAAAGCACTGTACAGCATGAGCAAGATTGTAAGATTGACACTTTAACTGATTTGGCAATGTCGTCCAGCATTGCGTTTTCTTTGTTCTATTCTTGCGGTATGTCTTGTTTAAACATAGGGAGCCGCAAATCAACCAATACGCCTAGTTCTCTCTCAACTTTCCCCCCCTCAACAAGTTCTGTCCCACGCAGAGTAGGAGCGCTCTATTTTTACTTCTAATATAATAATAATTCTTGCATTCAATATAGTGCCTTATCACATCTTCGAGACATCTCAAAGTGCTTCAGCTTCAATCTCATTTGAACTAAGCAGTGCCACCACCTGAACCCCTTGGTCAATAATGATGGTTACCAATACTAACAAATCTGTATTACAGACTACAGTGCTACAGGATAGTCAGTATAAGAGGCACAGACAGACATAATACATGAGAAGGGTACAATTATACATAGTATGGTAGGGGTTCACCCTAGTAATGGCTATCCCTCAATTGGCCTTTTGTACAAGTCTACCCATTTTAATGTAAATGCAAAGTAATTAGCACAGGTTGTTCTGTAGGTTATTAGTGTGAACAGCTGGCATCAAACATTCCTCTCATCCCTCTACCTTATGGCCCTGGGCATGTTCTTTGTTTTGCTTGCTTTCAGTGCGATGCTGACAAAGAAAGCATTTTTAGCTTCTGAAATTTTCAGAGCAACATTCGTTTCCCCATAGACCGACCTTTCATTTGATCCTGAAAAAAGGTATAAGCATTGGGCAGTCTGACTCGCTGCCTGGTGCCACAATACAGAACTGGATCTGTGTACAACAGCTTGCCTTGTTCAACCAGCGGATAGAATGTCCATCTCGTTTACAGTCTTTGTACCACATGGGGCAATTCTGTATAATCTTAAGATAAAAATCAAACTCGCTACTGAAGCAAACTGAAAGAGCACCAGTCCATTGGATTTATTCTCTGCAGGAATCATTCTCACTCCCTTTTCCTATTCACAGTGAATACATTAAAAAAACACAATTGTAATGATATATCACCCACCCCACACAACACAAAAGGGACTGAGTTCTAACATGTTAATATAACTTGTATTTATACAGCATAACATTGGGTAGCGTCTCAGCTGGCACAGCAGCTGTCTGCCTCATAATACAATAAATCCCCGAGGTAGTTGAAGTAAAGATATCACAATTGAATGACATGAACAACGTGAAAGGCACTATAATAAGCTGCACCTATAGACTAATATTTGCTCAAAATAACAATAACAATATGTTCATCTCATGGTAAGTGGTACTGACTGGGCAATGATGTTGCTGTTGATGGAATTCAGCCTTGTTTTGGGGTTTGTCTTGCAGGATGACTAATGTTACCACAGAGCAGGAACAAAAGCTTCTGCAACAGCTAAAGGAAATCACCAGGGTCATGAAAGAAGGGAAGCTCATCGACAGCTTTAGTCCCGAAACAGAGGCAGAGGAAGACCCGTACATGGAGGACTGGGAAGGTAGAGATCAATTCAAGTTTTGATAGCAGCCAAAAATGGTTTGGTTTCTTACTTCTCTTTTTTGGGGAGAAGGAAAGAGCTGATTTTAACTGCACCAGTGTTATCAATAACACAGTAAACAAAACAAAAACCATTGGCAATTTTGCCTCGGGTCTGGTGGACAGTGTTAAGTAATAAGTTCAGCAATCTCCAACTTGCTCAGTTTTCTGCACCGAGCTGATGTAATGCCGATACCTCACCACCAGATGTCACTATCCGACCCAGTTTGTAATTACCGAATTACCGTCAGTGAAGCGACCGTTTATTGTAAGCAAATCCGAATATCTAGTTGAGCTAACGACGTCCCACAAACAGCCCTTGAGATGAATGACCAATTAAGCTGGATTGTCGGCCAAGACACCACAAGAACTTCCCTGCTCTTAAATAATGTCACAGAGATCTTTTATGTCCATCTGCACAAGCAGATAAGAACTCGGGCTGGTCTTCCCCAGCACCTCGCTGGAATATCAGCCAAAATATTTCTCTCAATAGACCCGCAAATGCCCAGTTCACTTCACTTACTAAATCCATCTCTGTTACATGATCAAGGGTTCAAAAGTAACGTAAAGGAGATGTTATTTTGCTGTTCTGATGCACATAGATGTGAAAAGCGCTATATCAAATGCAAGGATTATTATTATTATTATAGATTGTCGAGCAGATTTTTTTTAAAAAAGCAAACTAGTTATATGATTCCCTTCCTTTTTCCAAGGTTATCCTGAGGAAATGTACCACACTTTTGGCAAGTCCGAATGCAGATGCCAGCAGGACATCGCCCCCGATTCCTCAGGGCCCTACCGATGCTCTGCGGAGGAGTTGGAAGACCAAGTAGAAGCAGAAGCTACTGAAGGCTTCTCAAATGAAACAGTGACAAAGCAGAGTAAAGAGAGGGAATATCAAGCAATGGGGCAGAAGAAAGGAGATTCACTGAGGCTCGGGGAGCAGAGCGATGTGCTTCAGTGCGATGAAAACAATGCTGTAGTTGAAGAATCCCAGAGTGGAAATTGCCAAGAACTCAACCAGGCCAGCAAGGACATGGATCGAATGGAGAACACTGGTCTCAGTCTCGAGGACTGCAGCGATAAGGCCCAGGAAGCATTCAGTGCGAAACTCTTTGCCAGTGAGCCACGGAGCATTGTGAAAGGTACAGATAGGCTCCGAAAACGCAACAAGAAGGTGATGGAGTAACTGGACAGAAGCTCCACCACTCAACAGTATCCTTTTAAATAATAATCCTTGCATTTGATATAGCGCCTTATCAAATCTTTGAATCATCTCAAAACGCTTCATAAAATATACTGTAAATAAATTGACTGTATATTTTGTGGGTGAAACGCAGCAGCCAATTGTGCACAGCAGTGTCCCATAATCAGTTGTAAATTGAGTGACCAAATTATTTATTTATTGAAGGAATTAATACCCCCAGAAAATCCATCCACCAATCGACTAACAACCCGATTCCTACTTACTGGTAGGTGGAGGTGTATGGAGTAAGGAAACTTGCCTAATGTTTCGCCATGCCTGGGAATCAATCCAGGTCCTCTTGCTTGCAAGGCGAGTGTTCTAACTAATACCCTACAGGACTCCAATCTTACATTAGCACCACATTATTTCACTTATTTTATTTTCAGCAAAAATACATCCGACCCCCTATGCCCTTTCCTTCCTGGAGTTGCCAACCCCTCCCATTAGTCCCTCTTTAAAGTTTTGGATATCTGTGAGCATTGATTTCCAATCAAAAGGAACACAATGCATATAATTATATGCAAGTAGTTATCCAAACGGTTAAAAAAACTAAGAGGTTTTATTTACAAGCTTATGTACAATTTTCCCTATTATAAGACATTATTTTGATGAATCACACAGTTCGTAACATGGTTCAGGCCATGTCACAAAGCTAAACCAGAAATAAACAATTTGTCATTTGTATAAATGAACCCAACTAATCATGAAACTGGATGGGTTCATCTACCCAGGGTTTACCCTACACATTTACAGGTAATAATCCCGCGCGGTAATTAAGTGGTTTCTGAATGAATACTGACAGTATTCATGGATACACATTGTGTAAATGGCCTGTGTTTGCTCAGTTAATGCATGTTACCTGCAGCTAAGTAGTGAGCGCAGACAGGTGGTTAGTCTGAGAATTTAATGTCCGTTGCCTGGGAAATGAATCGCCCACAATACCTTAGAGAGTTGTGGTATACAGGAGGTATAATAGAAAACAAGAAGAGTGGACAAAGTATCCTGAATAATGGGTTGGCCACATTCGCCAGTTACCACTCAATTTGTCATTATTGAAAGAATGGCTAGGAAGTCTCTCAGTGATTTCATTTTCAAAACCGCTCGCGAGAGCAAATGCTTTTCTAGGACAGACGCTCCACACGCATTCTTTGCCAATATTCATGTGAGACTGCAGTTTCCTAAACTTTTTACCAGCATAGATCCATCATTGTCATCATGAACTTCAGCTGCATGTGAGGCCATGGTCATCTTCCACAGCACGGCAGCATGAATCTTTCTACCAGCATCTTACCTGCTTCCATTTGTATCAAGACAACCCCAGCGATTATCCACAGCAAAGTAGGTTTGGACCGAGGTATGATGGGAAGAAGTCTTTTCAGTCCTTTTGTTCTGTAAGGATCTGTTTAGCCATCTATTGGATGGAATCTATGGGAAGCCAGATTGTCCAAGTAAAACTTGGACAATCTGTACCATGATTGACAAGGATATTGTTCGTGCCTCGTATAAACATCCATCTAGAATACACTTCTTTTCTAGGCAGTATTAAACGAGCAAGCTTAATGAAGTTCATATTGTTTTTCACCCAAGGGCTCAGAAACCCAGCCAAGATTGGCTACAGTTCATTATACATCTACCGTTGTCTCCGGAAACAAAGGTCTGTATGTAGATCTGAACTATGCAGTGAACACAAACATAGTACAAGAAAAGGCTATTTTTCCCTGTTCCTTCCACAGCTATCCCAAACACCCCTTAACATAGACATGACAGATGCACTTGCTTCAAAGATAAATCAAATAAAAAAGAAAGTTCTTCCATTTCTACATCCCCACTATTTAACTGTGGCCTTCCTTGTTCTACATAGCAACACCCCATGCCTTCCCTCATGGCCCATGTCCTTTCATGGATGAAGCAAAAGCAATTCAAACTGGTGCAACGTCATCTTTCATTATCATAGGAGAAGGCATCACAATTATATGTTGTATACATGGGTGTCTTTTGAGGAGTCCATAGTGACTGTAGTGTCAGGCCATGGCAGAGCTGCTGCTCTTCAGCTCCCACAGTCCTCCCATAGAGTAACAACAGGAGGCGGTTACTGAGAGCCAAGCTAAGCAAAGGGAATGCGACAAGGCCATTGTTGGACCTTCTGGGAGCACTCCTTTAACTGGATGTCACTTTCCAACCAATCACTGACTTCCGATGGGACACTCACCACTTTGATCATGGCATTCTGGCTTTGTGATTCACTTAAGAAATACCAACGAGAGAAAAACTAATTCCCCCCCACCCATCACCGGCCCCAATTGATGGAACACCTTGTTACGTGCTCACCTAGACTGCCTTTTGCTGCACATTACACAGCACCCATTGCAATGGAAATCACTGATCTGTTTGTCAGTCACCATCTCTGACTGTTATTTAATCCTTTGTGTATTTATTTTTGAATAAAGAATGACAAAGAATGTTTGCTATTTGCATTCTTTTATCTACTAAGTGCACTGGCCATTCCACCCAGGCTCGTTTCACTCTACTGCCTCACGTTGCATTGAGAAGCTAAATGTTTGAACTCAAGAGCTTTCTCACAAGGTACAGGTTTATCCAATAAATGACTGTTCTTTTTGAAAGTTACCGTGCAAAGAGGAGTGCTTGAACTGTGTCTGGCATCCTCGAGTCATTGAAAGGTGCTATACAAATGTAATTTTGTATTATATATTGGACATTTTAGATAGTCACGTCATTCCTCCTACCCAAGTTGTAAAGGATTTAACTTAATTTTTTAAAATTAGAAATCAGAAACAGTGCCAAGGTCCCTACATTGGGTGGTTATCATCTCTTTAACTCTTTAACTGGACAGCAGTGTGTTGCTCACTAGCTAGTTGATTGCTATCTAGCAGCCCCTGCAGGAGTTGTGAGCATGGGCAGAATTAGGCTCAGCTGCAATGCCCCGCAATTGAACATGCTTCCAACACTCGAGGTTCACACATCAATAGCTGCTTAGGTGAGGTACCCGAGGGCAACTGGTGCCTATGAAATTATGCCCTAGTGAAAGGCACTATTATTAGAATAAGAAAAAGACAATATGCAAGACCGAGTGCAGGACAACGACACAAAACTGTATGTTTGCAGCACAAACAAGACAGCATTAATTATATAAGGTAATGTTCAAAAGGGAATTGGATAGATACTTGAAAAGGAAAAATTTGCAAGGATATGGGGAAAGAGCGGGGGAGTGGGATTGATTGGGTAGCTCTTCCAAAGAGCTGGCACAGGCACGATGGGCCGAATGGCCCTCCTTCTGTGCTGTAATATTCTATGATTCTAACATTTCAAATTCAAACCTCATTGCTATTCTCTCTCGGAAATCTTAAATACTGTTTATCATTCTGGCGCTTTATTTAAAAAGCATCCATGCAATCCTTCATTGCATCAGTATAAAGGTTATCCTGCCAGAGGTAATAAATATTGCCTCATGCAGAAATCATGTCCCTTGATTTTCTATTACAACATTTATAAAACCCAGTGGTTTCAGATCTCGTTGCACTCATTATCTGTAGCAACTAAATGCCCATGTTGTGGGATAAAGTTCAGCAAAGCGCACTAACAAGAGTTTCCAATTATAAGTCTACAATGAACACACACTCATTAATCTGCCCATAAAACGCTCCATTGCGAACATGTATATATGATTTCAACACTGAAAACAAGCAAGAGTCAATCTTCCCAAGCTCTAACCAGGGTCTTCAGATGACAATTAATCCATCCAATCATTTATTTCAAACTACTCAATCAGAACAGATTGGTTTTATGTGGTCTTTCAGAACATGGGAGATTAGCTTTCCACGTGTTATCAGAATGTACAACTTGATCTTCATTTAAAACAGGAGTGGTTTTGCAGTGAAACTATTAAAGGGTTCCCAATACATTTAACTTATGGGTTAAGCCTTTGTTAAGGAGGTCAGAACAATTGCTCTCACTTTAAGTGATTTGATTGGGTTTGAGGTGAACAATATCAACATACCATTTGCTTTGGAAGGGGTCCAGAATCTCAGCTTTCAAAATGCAATTTGAGGCCACAAGTCATTAGTGTTTCCCACCCCCACTGAAATCCCATCAATCATATTGCAGTATACAATACTCCATCCATCCTGTGCAAACTTGAAGCGAGTACAAATATACCATTGTGCAGAAAAATCAGATACAAACCAGTCTGCTTTGGTAAATTTAGTAAATTTGGTAAAGGAGGAAACCTAACCTTTCACTGCAATACGGGGACTGACTACCTAACCAACAAAGGCTGATGAGGTTAAATTATGCCCAGTACCTTTCACTGATTGGGCTGAGTTCAGCATTCTGCTGAAGAAAAACTTGCACATCAGTAAACACTTGCTGGATATAAGCAGCTATTGATCAGTGGTGCACATATTCAGACTGGAAGCAAATTCAGTTGTTTCTGCAATCACCAGTAAAACAATACATGAATGACTTACCAGCTCTCATGTGTAGCTTTCACTTTATCCAAGGTTAAGGCCTTCACAACTCTTTGTTACTCGAATAACTGTCAATTCTACATAGGTGTGAAGTAATTAGGTTAGTCGGTCAGGGTAGACTGTATTAAATGTATTCAGAATGACTCTTGAATTCCCAGCATCACAATGTGCAAATGAATTTTGCCTTTGTTTCCATGTTATCTGGTTCAGCCTTTCAGTAGGAAGGTTAATTGCAATGAGAACACCTGGTTCACATCTAATCACAGTGAAAAGAGTCACCAGGGAAAGAGCAGTACTGATGTTGTAAGTAAATCCTAGAACAGGAATCTTTTAGTTTGGAGCAATTAACATTTTAGTTGCAGTGTGCTCCTGATTGCATCTCCCTTTGCTCTTGGGACAACAACCCTTGGGAAAACACCCTTTAACTTCAAATATGAAAGTGATATTTGGTTGACCTTTCTTCATTAAATCTGACAAGCTATTTTTGGAACAATTTAAGGCTTGGACAAAGCCATTAATGGTGACATGCCTGGCAATGGAATGTCAGAATCGAGCCGGTCCTCCATGGTGGTCTCTAGTTCAGTGCCTGAGCCAGGCAGGTCCACAGTATTCCAGGGCACTGCTGATGACGGCACAGGCAGCCTGGATCATCGGCAGGATCTGGAAGGGCAAACCAGTCACTGGGGCAGGGAGTCATCCAACTCAGTTCCTGTTAACTCTTCAAGCCAAAGCCCTAACTGGTAGGGTTGTCCTAGCTGGACAAGTAGTGGGAAAACCATATCAATGGCAAGTTATGTGGTTTTAGCTGGTTAGACTCCAGCAGTACCTCAATTAACACTCCAAACTTTGGCTCTTGCCAACCTGCGCCTAGTACTTTCTGGGATTTCCATGTGTAGGTGGAATGCACTTAATCTCTAAGGATACTCTTAAGCATGGTGATGGGTTTCCGCATGTGTCAAGACACCCGGCTGACGCCAAAAAAGGAGTTTATTAATTGTCACGCACTCTCTTGTTAGCTGAATGTATTTTGTGCACTCACCTGAGCAGCAGGTAAGAGGATTGATTGATCATCTTCAAGGCTCTTGCAATGATTGCCTGCAACAGTAATGCAAATTGTATACGTGCTCCTGCCAACATTGCCTCCTTCCATTAGCTGTGAATTTACTCAATTGAGACAGCAACTCATTGGGCAGAGGAATCTTGTATTATGGGTATAACCTCAGACTGGAAAATAAAACCTTCTCTCACAGATAGTAACAGTCTCATTCATTTTGAAGGTTTGAACAATTATGAAACCAGTTACAATAAATATATTTTTTTAAACTTCACTGCAATGAATCATTCCATCGCTTGGCTGTGAAATTATCGTTCACAAACATGGATTCATGTTTCCAAATAGAGATAATAACAATCAGTATCCCTTTAAAAAGGCACGATTTAAAGAATTGTAATACATTTGGACATGGTATTTCTTTAATCACACCTGACTATTGGTTTATTTCAAGACTTGTGGTACTTTTAGAAGAATTGGTTTGGGACCAGATACTAATTCAGTCAGAGAGAGAGCTAACATGCACAGTTAAACAAAACCATTCTGAGTTAATGTCTACTGACGTGAACCCAGCTCCCTCACAACTCCAGGCTTAGCATCTCCTCCAATCCAAATCCCATGATAATATTATTAGCATGCTTCATATTCCACAAACAGATAAGGAATATTGATGATCAATACTTTTAATCTGTAATTTCATTTTAAAAAAATCCTGCATTTGATGTAGCACCTTTCACATCGGGAGGACGTTCTCAAAATGCTTCGCAGGATTTACTGTAAAGTGCAGTGATTGCGTATTTTGTCGTCGAACTTTTGAGTTCAGGCTGTGTGTTATACCCCGCAGTGTAACTGAACTGTGTTACGTTCTCTAATGTGGCAAAGCAGGAGTCCTACCCTCCAGAGAGGGCATTCATTTATGTGGATTGTACCATACTGCAGAGCTGTCTCAGTATACACAGTTATTATACACTGGAATATCATTTAGATTTATTGGTGTACATCAATCAGAACCATTATTTAATATTTACAACACAAAGTAAAACAGTTGAATTACATGGTCTCCACATATGAAAATTAAACAGTGAATACAGCAGTAAACATGCCATGCATGTTAGCAGGTAGCAGCACATGTCTTTCTGTGCATAAGCTGCACATGCAAAACAGACATTCATGTTTTTTTTAAATTGACACCGACACCTTCCAAAACAAAGCCAACCGACCAAAGTGTACAGCTTGTGAGATTTGCAGCATGACCACGAAAGATTAACTTCCTTCTCAACGTAGTCACATTTCATACTAAAATATTCAACATCAGATTTCTATATTCCAACTCTTTAAAAAGGCCATAAATAATTATTATTCATTAAAATTTCCCCCCGCCCCAAATATATCTTTTTTCACTGTGCAAATGAGACCCATCAGTCCTAGTCACAATCGAAACCCATATATTGTTGCCTTGGTTTTTGATTTTGTGCAGTCGGCGAAGGTGGGACAGTTACAAGCAAAAGAATGAATGAACGTGACAGATTACCGGTCGAGTTTGGGAACCATAATGTCTCATTCCGGGATTTTTCTCTTCCACTATTTCTATACAACAAGAGAGTTACAGGTAACCCAGTGAGTCAAAGAAGCTGCAATGAGCTATTTATGGAGGAAGGATTCTGAAAGATGAAATTACTGTAAGCAGAGGGGGCTTGGTGGGGTAGAACCACTTTGCTGTCAATTCTGGGTCCCCTGTTTGCAATCCAGGCTGAGGGGATAACGTTTCCTCTGCTGGTTATAAGGCTCCCAGGGAAAATGAGCAGTCATAATCTAAAGGCCACGTATTCCCAGCACAAAACCAGCCAAACTTGAATACACAACAACAATGAACTCACAATCACTCTGAGAGGCCATAAATGGCTGTTGAGAGCAGTTTAAATGTTACACTGGAGTACCAGATGATGTACTGAACGGAGAGCGTGGTTTTGTCTTAAACAGATTCAACATATTTTGTGGGCTATTTCCCTCAGCTTCGAGCTCCTAGCTTACATGCTCTGAATACTTAGGAATATAGAAATCTACAAGAACACAGAAAAAATTACAGTCCATCTTGGCTGGTCCCTTTTCCTAATACTGAAAACATTGCTTCCGACCTTCATAATCCCCTTCATAAGCCACCAACATATACCTATTTTAAACGCTCTTAAAATTGTCAACACTATCCACCTCCCTGAGTATTCTGTTCCACAGATTCACCACCTTCTGTGTATGTAAAGCAGTTAAATCTAAACCAACTAATCATCTCTCTCTTCTGAGATTGAGACTACGCCCATTTGCAGTGACTATTTCAAATGTATTAGAGTAGTTAATCCCTACTCCCTATCCCAGAGCCAATCACCTGGCTGACTGTATCCATCAGAATGTCTGAACTGATGTGAAATTAACTTTAATGCAAGCAAGCTGCTTTCATAAGAATAGATTTCATGTCTATTTTTGAAAAAAACAACTATTTTCTAAGACAAGTTTAAGTGCTACAGTTAGTGTTGCTGCCACTAAGTTCATTCAGTTCCATGAATTCAATCACAGTAAATTCCTGAATGTTTCTAGTAGTTCACTAAATGCATCATTCAATGTACATCGACCCTTACAATATGTGCGTGAGAGCTTTATTCCCGACCAGTAAACCTGGTCCTGGGCTTTTCACTGACAACTCCCTGGAGAATTCCAGAGTTTGGGAATCCGCTGTGGAGATAATAAGTTCAAGTGAAAGCAGCCAGCAAAGACTTGTGTGCAGTTAACCCCTCTATAAAAGTGCAAACATTCAGTAAATTCTAACAATGCACATAGTTCACAAACTCTAGTGCTGAACGTCGCGAAACAGGATTGTACTTAACATCAGATAATTCCCAAACATTTCGGGATTTAGGAAAGCTTGGATCCCTGTTCAACAAATAGACTACTCTGAGTCCATGCCAACATGTCCTGCCACTCATAGAGTTGGCAATGTACTTCCCCTACACCATTGGAGTTGAGTGCATAGAGAACCGCTCCATATTGTGCAGGAATGGAAATCTTCAATGGCTTCAAGATTCATAGGTTGAGACTGAACTGAAACACTGGCTTTTTAAAAACTTATTTTTGCCGTAAGCACTCTTTAAAAAAATATACAAATAGAGTTGCGAAGAATGGCGAAGATGAACTTCAGTAAATGTGCTGTGACGTACGTAGAGATAACCGATCAATTTTATCATTTCGATTTGCATTTATAATGCTATGTTATATAGGACATCAAAATTCCAACAGTTACTCATAAGCACTGGGAACAAATTTGGTAAGGATAGTGGATGGAAATGGCATTTACCCCAAAGCAATGAATCTGTTGGAACAATTAGAATTCACCCCCGACCCCGCCTCCCTTATCCCCATCCGGTTTCCTTCAGGGACAATAGAAATAGACTTAGAAAAAAAAGCAAATCAAAGTGTTTATATCTAACCCTTTGACTTTAAAAATGGCTCTTAATTGTCAGCTTCCCGCTCACTCCACACACACACACACACGCACTCACATACACACACATCAACTTTTTAAGTATTGAATTTCCTCGTTCCCTTTAAGAGCCTGATTAAATCAGTATCAGAAACATCAGTCACTGAAGTATCATAATGCTGCATATTGTACGAAAAATGACAGAGAGAATACAGTGCACATGTAGGAAAAGTATTTTCTGATCTGCTTATACTGTACATTGCCAATGATACAAAGGGTAGTAAATAAAGAGTGAACTGGCATGCAGAGATCTCTCTGTGCTGTCATCACTGGGCCAAATTCCCGCAGATTCTGTAGCTGCCATTTTCACACAAAACCTTTTTTAAAAAAAGTTTTTCTTCATTTTTTTTTCTCAAAAGATAATTTTGTTTCCAAACTCCTGGTAAAGTCAGTTGGGAAAACAATTTAAAAAAAACACTTTTCAGGCCATGCTTTTTTTTAAAAAAAAAAGTCATAGAATTACAAGTATTTTTCAACGTGTCCTCCTTGTGTTCTCGTATTCATAGATAAATAATCCAACAAGAGAAAAGAAACAGAAATCGCCTGGGTGATGAGTTATGGCCTGTGTGATCAATAGGTCAAAGCAGAAATGACAGGTTTGTCCTTGATGCACGTGTTGCTTCCTCAGAATGACTGGCAATGCCCTGTCTATTCACAGGCTAGTTTACCATCAAAACTGGAGAGAGCAATAGCGAACGCTTGCAGTGCACACATTGGGTAGTTATAGTCCATGGTAAAGACATCTTCAGCCACCCGGCCAAACTGCATCACTATATAATCCGCTGGGGAGAAAAAAAGCAAGTGCAAAGATGTCAATTCTGCATCAATGTCTTTTATCCTGGATCACAAAACAATACAATTTTTATCAGCACAAAGGATATTTAATAGATAATAATCCTTGCATTTGATGTAGCGCTTTATCGCATCTTCAAGACATCTCAAAGCGCTTCACAGTATAAGGTACTATAAAGTGACTGCGTGTTTGGTGGGCGAAATACGGCATCCGATTGCACACAGCAGTGTCCCACAAAGAGTCATAGATTGAGATATAGGGGAAATATTGCCTGAATATCCAGCATCTCAATATAGAAATTGCAAGTTAAAAAATGGCATTGTACTTCTCAGTAATTATCCTCTTTTCCTGTTACTTGTTGGGGGAGTTTGCATTATAATTAGTGTAAATCCTGATGGGCTGTGCTACAGGGCTCTTGGGGATGAAATGCCACACAATGTGTGATCTCCGCTGTGACTGACGGTGTTGGGAAACCCAGATGCTCTCACCACAGGAAAGGATAGAATCCGGAAGACAAATTCCCCCAGGTGCTCTTTGTGTATCTTTCATTAGCTCCTTCCAGAGACAGAAGCCTGTGAGTAAGTTTGTCTGTCAGCCAGGGAGTGAAGCACAATATATAATAAACCTTGTATTTGATATAACGCCTTACCATGTCGCCGAGATGTCTCAAAGCACTTCAGAGGATTTTTATTGTGAAATATAGTGGCTGTGTATTCATAGGCAAAAACCATAGCCAATTAGCACCGCAGTCATGTTCCCACAAACAGCCACAAAGTGAATAACTGATTTTATCTGCTTCATATAGGGAAGGTGAGTTTAGGAGAAAGGCATATCAAGCTGGAGCAAATGTTTCCTGTAAACAAATACTTGTGGTTAATAGGCCATTATTGGTGGAGTCTTGTTTTTGCCAGTGCCTTCTTGACTTGATGAATAAGGTAAACCTTGTTAGATAAATGGAACAATGGCTCGGCAGATGCTCACGGGAACCAGCCTTTGGAGGAAAGATTACTGCTCAAAGCTTTGATTAATGACACAAAGTAATGATTAACCACTTTGAAAAGCAGCGATGGGCAAGTATTGGCAAAGGGTGCTGCTGCTAGAAAGCGGCCCATGACATTGAGACAATCCCTCTAAAATACCTCTAAAGGTATTTAAAAGTCGATTCGCAAATAGTTCTTCAGGGACCGATCTATCCCTATAATCTCGTCCATTAAACTACTTCCCCCAATGCTGTAAATTTATTCAAAGCATCAGATTTATCATATGTGGGGTTGTGGAGTGGGTGGTGGGCAGTGAGAGTAGGGAGGAGAAACAAAACTCAAACAGCCTTGCGTGGAAGTTTAATTCTGATTGTTGTTGACATTCAAATATTGCCTCATCTGCATGTGGGGAATTTTAGTAGTACAGACAGTCTGTGCAGTGTATGCTGACAACAGTGATGTATATGGAAAGGGCTGCAGGCCTTTGTAACATGGGTGAAGGCATGAGATTCTTATTCTTGATCATTTTAATGTTACACTACTAAAATCCATGCATTAAAAACAGAAAGATTTTCCGCAAAAAAAAATTGACCTCGATTCAATTGCTAGTTGGACGGACGGGAAGTGGTGCTGTATCCAAACCTGAGCACACGTTTCACCGAATATGCAGTTGAAAATATTCCTGGATTTTCCATACATTGAAGCAGATTACGTCATGTGTTCAGCCCTCAGCAAGCCGAGGAAGAACTTTGACCGTGAATTTGAAGAAGCAGTTGGTAAATTCTGCCCCCACAGCATTGCACACACGCTCCCTGTCGGGAGAGTGGACATGCTGTTTTGTATCAGAAAATCGTTCTTTGAGATAAAACTGCAGGGTTTAATCCTGTAGCCCTGAGCTCTCCTCTGAATTGTTTTGAAACTACAGTACAGTCTAAATGTCAAATGCAGAAATTCTTTTAAAAAAGGATTTAAATTTCTTTGACTATGATTCGAGGTTTCTCTTCACACTGGATCTTTAAAACAATACAATTGGACAGCCAGGGACAGTGGGAGACACTTGTACATGACATTGGATGAATGAAGGCTTTCTCCAGAGTTTGATCTGGGATTATCCACTGTGTATTTCGGGAGGGTTCTGAGTGTGGCTACATCTCTTACATAGTATTGACAATAAAAAAGGGAAAGGCATTTTGACATGCTACACAGTTACACCTCACCAAATTGAACATCATGCCCTTTCATTGCCTCGCTGGAGACCTTGCTAAGTCCTGATTCAGAGATTGACGTCGCAATTCGCCATGAGCTTTCTACTTACGGTCATTGTCGTGAATAATCTGGAAATTCTTCACAGAGGCCTGTGTAACTCGACCGTGAAAATTTAGGACGTAGGATTGCGTGTCGTCGTTCCACACCGGAGTTTTGTTGTGCAGCTCAATGACACTCTCTGTGCTTTTGTTCTGCCATCTTGCCAGTAAAGTTTCATGCTCCTTCAGTGAATAAAAGAAAGAGTCGCTCAGTAGAAAGTTTTGTTTGCTTAAAGTTTTTCTCCTAAAATAAAATTCCATTAAACAGGTCAACATCCAACACTCTGCCCAATCTGCTTTCATTTCAGTCCAGACAATGAGCGTTGGAAGGCTATACAACTGTTGGCAATGTCACAGGAAAGTCCTACCATGTTCTCACCCATTCGACACATACACACTGTGAGGCAAGGAGTATTGGAAAGCTATCAGGAAACTTGGCTGTTCTTTCGCCTCAGGGGCCCTAAGATTAATTATGTTGCCGTGGATGATATCAGCTAACTTGGCATAGACAGGATATTGAACCAGAGACCTCCCACGTCTGTATGGCTCAGTTTCACAGCAGCTTTGCCAACTAAGACATCACATGGAAACAGTGGATTCTCTTCAATGAATCCTGAAATTTCAGAAGCACCATTACCTATGGGATCCCGAGATTGCAACCCCTACCTCCAATGGTGACGGACGTGCTAACAAACTTTTGTTGAACTAAATAAGAACAATTTCCCTCCAGCTGAATAAAACATTAGCGGTCACAGTAAACCTAAAATGTTCCAAATCCAAAGGATTGCATCTCTTCACTCTTACAGGCATAGTAACAGCTTGTTATTATAAAGCACCTGGAATGGGCATCTGCCTGTTATCTATCAGCCCAACACAGACGTTTAGACATGTTTATTATTTTTTAGTGGGACCCAAGATCCAACGATCTTCTCAACTTGACCAACCTGCCTTCTGGCCATGTCCTTCACTGGATTCATGTTTCAGCAATGCACCTTGTTGCTTCTTGAAATGAAGACCAATGAAATGTATCCATTAATTGTACAATGACAGGCTCACTGCACCACCTTCCCTGTTAGGTGGAAGCCCAACAGAATCATGGGCTCCATTTGGAGTCTGTGACGCTCCTTGAACTTACGTTTCGTGGCTTGATGGAGACTCTTTCGTGGTCCATGTTCATGCCGGGGATAATTACACTCATCTTCCGCGGTCCCTTAAAACCCAGAACGTTTGTTTCCTAAAGGAAATGACATACTGTTTTTTACATACTAATTTTTTACAAACTGTTAACAGATACTTTAACACAATTATGATGAACTTTTAAGTTACACATCTGGCAAACATATAATGTACACAATGGTAACAACTGACCACCCCTAAAAAAATCTATAAAAGTGACCACTGACATTCAATGGAAAAGATCGTTCCAATTATAACTCACTGGCTGTTTTGTTTTGAAATCTGCCCTTTGAAAATCTTCTAATTTGATATTCACAATTAGCACAAAATTAGTAAAAGCACAAAAATTGGAAATGTCACATTTTCAACCCCCAATGTCACACTGCAATATTCAATTAATTTCACCTACAGAGAGATTGCAGAGTCTCAGAAGGTTTATTTCACTACAAGAAGACTGGATGCTCATGATAAAAGCTTGCTTCAAGCAATTCCTGAAATATTGTTTCAATGAGATGCATTTGTAACTGAAATGCTGAACATTGTCCAGCGCCTTGGGACATCATCCCAACATGAAAGGCGCTTTACAAATGTAATCTTGTTGTTGTTGTTTGGATCCTCCAGAGAGGTTTGATTGTTGGCTTACAATAAACTTAAGGTAACCTTCTAGAGGCATCCAAGTGATTTCTGTCAGCAAAGTGAACCGAGAAGAGTAGTTACAAAGGAAAGAGCTGACTGATAAGTGCTGTGAGCAGCACACAGGGCTGGAGTCAGACAAATGTCTGGGAGATGGTGAAAATTGCCAACTCCTACCAGGATTGCTCATTACAGCTGTAGCTCAGTTGAGGATGTGTATTTCAGTCTAAATGCTGGAACCAGCAATTCCTTTTCTTTTATGGATTCGCACAAAAGGACAAATGCTCAGGATTCGTCAAGCTGAATATTTTTGCATCATGCTGTCAAAGGGAGGCACGAAAGTGAGGGTCAGGTTGTTGCTGGAGCGTGCAATAGACAGTAGAAATCTGGGACTTGTCAATCTCCACATCCAGCACCAATTATCCACTTGTTTCGGTGCTCACAAAAACAACTAAGATCAAATTGCTGAGACAGCTGCCCTGGTTACAGTCATCTCTGACTGCAGCCTGTTTGCTGGTAATAATAATAATCCTTGCATTTGATATAGCGCTTTTCACGTCGGGAGGACGTCCCAAAGCGCTTCACAGAATATACTGTAAAGTGAATTGACTGTATATTTGTGGGCGAACGCACAGCAATGTCCCACGAACAGTCGTGGATTGCAAATGACCAATTTATTATTGTTTTGTTTTTTGGAAGGAATATTATTAGGCGTGTGGAGTAAGGAAACTTGCCCAAGGTTTCGCCCTGACCTGCCTGGAATTGAACTCAGGTCTCTCACTTGCAAAGCGAGTGCTCTAACCACTGAGCTACACCACCTGGTACCCACTCTAGGCTTGTACTACACAAGTTTCCCCCTAGATATTACCACCTGAAATGCTCCACATCTACCTTCACTGATTTCTTAGTGATGGTTACAGCTGCATTGACAAAGGCCTAGCGATAGGATGCTGCTAACTTGCTTGCCCACCAAACCACAAAGTAGCGTAATTGCAAACAGAACTTTCAGAACAGAACTTACATAACATATGGCCGCGAGCTCCTGACGCAAGTTGCTTGCCTCTAAGCTTGAACTTCCCTTTTCGGGATTCACTCCATTATCGTACACTGTGAACTTGGTGCCCATTAAATTTGATCTGCAAAGCAAATGGATTGCAACCTTCTGAAGAAACCTTGCACATCTCAAACACACGCATGCCGGGCTCAGCCGATGTCATTATTCTAACCCACAATGGAACCTTTTATAAGCAGCGACAGCATCAGTTCCACAGCCAGGCGGCTTGATGCCTAACAGTACAGTAGAGTGTCCACTTTTAATAGGGCATTCCCAATAGCGCCATGTGTCTCTGACCTCAGACACAATCACATGAAGTGTGGTAATAGAAGCAGTTACTTATGGGACTGGCTTACCTCAGTTTGCCAACAAAGCTCTCTCCCCCCCTTGACAGGTCAGTGGGGTCGACAGAGATGAGGTAATTTGACGTCTTGCTCTTCTTGCGTTTCCTTCCTGCCAACAGGAATACCTGGGGAATAAGAAGGAAAGACACCGTCAGCACAGCCACAGGGAGTGGGACTGGTACAGAATTGATTTATTCGATCCTCACCAGAAAGAACGCAGGAATATGCCACACACTAATTGGCCTATCAACTCATTGGTAAATATATTTCCCAACCAAAACAGTCACAGTAGTTGCCAGCAAACACCTGGGAAGCATTTTGAGATGTTTGAATAAGGTGCTATAAAATGCAAAGATAATAAACAATAGAATTTGTAGAGAATCTCTAAAAAAAGAAGTTAGAAGCAAACTGGAAGGAGGGAGGAAGTGGGCGAATGTCTGTTCCTCTTCAAAGACAATATAATAACCTCTTCCCTACTTCCAGCACAGCTCTAATATTTCCAGCTGAGAAATCCCTGTGATTCTGAGTGTTTGTTCACTTTGGTTTACAGCCCTGCCTAAGAGGCTCTTTGATCTTCAAACCACTTCCACTTCTGCTTTCACGACTGCAGTTAACTCGCCGGATTATCGCTGTTTCTCTCAGCATTTTTAAGAGCTGGATCGTGTCTTTCCCCCCACTCCCGCTCAATTCCTTTGCTCAAATGAGACACGTTCAGCTCTTGGAACTGCACCTTGTTACAAAGCAATAAATCCGGGAATCACCATGTTTAAGCCCTTCTTAAGCCCTCGCTAATGTTTCAATGTCCTTTTGAAGCTAGGGAACCCAAAATTACATACAGTTTACAGATTGAATACATTCTGTACCATGGCAAATGTAGGTTGAGATCTGAAGGACGTTTGTAACTTGCGGTAAAGCTCTCGGATTTATTTCTGACCTTTTTCCCATCATCTCTTTCCAGGTGGAGGTAGTAGGTGGGATACATTCCCCGATCCATCCCTTTCTTGTCCCTTGTGATGCGGCATTTGACAGTGACTCCTTGCGGAGATGGTCTCAAAGAAAACTCCTCAAGGTCGTCGACATCTATCAAAGCATCGTTGCACGGAGGGGTTGAGACGGAGGCTGCTTCCTGAAAAACAAGTGAAAGTTCGGCACTATATCAAAGAAATATTTATGTGCTGTCAGCACTAAAACCACATGAAACTTTCCCATCTCCCATCACCTTTCCCTTTGTTTCTTATGCGTATCGGTGCTGGAGACTGTAATTTTTAAGCTTTTCCAGTGGAAACATCTAATGAAGTTCAGAGAAGGTGCAAAGCATCCGTATGACCTCAGAATATAAACTGGTGCAGTTCTGTATCATACTTACCAGAACCTAGTTTCACGCAAACCCATTAACATAGTACATCTTGGCCGTACAGCCAAGAACACAACAAACTACGGTCTCATTAACCTATGCTGGATTTCAAATCAGATCTCAGTTATAAAAGTACTGTCTTTGGGAAGTGCTCACTGTGCTACTTCATGGCATAACCAGTCACCCAGTTTACTCTTTCAGTAAAAATATGAATGGGGGTTGATTTAACAACAGTTATGAAATAAATGTCTTTTATGTTGAATTAGCTCTGTTTTCACCCCTCACCTTATTGGATTTTTTACTAGAAGCGGAGCCAGGCCTGGTGTTGCTGTTCAGCTGAGAGGAACTGGAGCTATCTTCATCTTCCTCATCCTCTTCCTCATCAAAGTTCATGCTGCTGGAAATGCCTGCAGAGGTCAAACACATGTGAGATTCGAAACTCAGACGAAGAAAACTGCACAAATGCAGATCACCCACAAGTCCAGGCTGCACTCAATCCCACATCCCATTGCAAAAGGAGCACCCATGAATTATGATGCCTTATGCCACATGGTAAAACATATACACATATAACACTGAAAGGCTCATTGCAGCTGCCTTAGACCGAGAAGTTTGTCTTTCAGTTATAATCAGTTCAGTGATCCTTTTCAATTAATTGGAAGCTGTCTTTGGGAAGTGCTCACTGTGCAAGTCAAGCAAAAATATATTGGAATCTAATTTGTACTACTTTATAATGGGATTCCTTAACAGGGAGCCCAATTTATGCAAGTGGAGAAATGCCGAGCCACGGGAATTCTAATAGGATTATTCATTAAGCAATCCCATTATGTACCATGATTTAGACCCCACTGTATGGATCAGGCTTCTCTTTCAAGAATAGGACAGTCTGAATGACTTACCCTTTTTCTGCATTGCGACTCTGAGGTCCTGCTTGGCTGTTTGCTGTGCGCTGGCCACAGGGTCTGTGTCATCATCATCGTTGCTGGACTGCCCAACGGTGAGGATCTGAACCTGGCTCCTCACCTCCTGCAGGTCATCCTGAAAGGCTGCAGGTCCATCGATACCTGCCAGGCCAGAGGACAGACTTCAGTCACTTCAATGTGTTACAGACTTGTCATCTCGGAGTGCGTTAAACTTCTACAGGAGGGAGTTTTACTCATAGAGTCAAACCCTAGTGTTTGCACATGTTAAACCTGCTTGTGTTACTAATCCTTTGGTGGAACCCCCTAACTGTGACAATCACCAACATGACCACCTCCACACCCGTCTGCTACAACGTGAACAAAGCTCTTGTATTAGATTTACCAAACTGAACAAGTAATGACAGAGCTACAATACAATACAAATTTACATTTATAAAGCATTCTTCACGTTGGGAGGCCGTCCCAACTCACTTAACAATCCTGGCTTGTTGCCCGAGTTGGGGGTGAGAGCTGAGGGGGATGGGGAGGGGAAAGATGAACCAAAGTGCGGTCAAAGAGGTAGATGGAACTTGAACAAAGTGTAGGAGGGAGCAAGTCGTGGCTGACACTCAATTCAATTCTCCACAAGCACATGCATGCCCGCACCCATGCATACACACACAGAGTCATTGCCAAAGGAAGCCTGGAACCAATCGGTAAACTGAAAGTTTCCACTATTGCAAAATATCGAATAATCGTCACGTCCAATCCAATGTTTAGAAAACGTGCTGTTCACATCAGGAGGACATCCCAAAGCGTTTCACACAGCTCGTTGGGCATCGAAGCTGAGGGGGTGCAGGGGTGGGGGAACTGATGAGGTAACGCACCATTCCTCTTCCACTGCAGTCAAAAAGCTTTGCAAGACTCACTGCCCAGGCTCCTACGTAAATAGTGGACACTTGGATAAAGTGCTGGAGGATAGACGAAAAAGGAATTAAACACCGACAGGAGAGAAGAGAAATAGGAGGAAGAGGGAAATTGAGTTCTCTTAGTGATTCTCATCAATTGTACATAAGACAGGTGTGAAATTCCGTAGGCAGATGTTAAATCAACTTTATGTCAAAGAAACACAATTGATTAGTTTGCTGTCAATCACAGCAAGCTCCAGTAAACACAGCATGGTACATTGGAACATCCATTGATGCTGCATTAGTGGTGGAAAGCAGATGAAATACATGACCTTCATCCAGATTTTTTCGTGACAGAAGATTTGCCAACTGCTCCTCAACCCAGTAATTGGATGAGATTCTAATCAAAGATTTTTACAGAGTCACACCACACAGCTCCCATTATTTTTTAAATTTCTGACTAATGATTTGGAAATCGATAAACATTGATGCAATTTGCAACACTCTTCAGCAAGGTTCATAAAGCCAAGTAAAAGTGCAATTAATCCTGTTTTTTTTCCGGCTGCATTTTAAGGGTTTCGCAAGACTAATCAAATTCTATTAAAAAGATTTCAAATTGTGATTCGAAGCTTACTGCTTAGAAGATCATGGACTCTTTTGTATGCGATGTAATGGCAAGCAACGACTCAGTAATATTCTTTGGATGTATTATAAGCCACGACTGAAGATAATAATAATAATCCTTGCATTTGATATAGCATCTATAAAATGTCTTCGAGATGTCTCAAAGCACTTCAAAGAATATACTGTAAAGTGACTGTATATTTCTGTGGGCGAAATAATAATACTCTTTGCATTTGATATGATGCCTTATCACATGCCAAGATGAGAAGCAACAGAGGCTGAGCTCTCAATAGAACAGTTCAAAGAGCTGATTAATGCAGCTTCTGTCACGATGCCTTTATCTTGCATATTCGCTAGTTTCTCTGTGCATATCCAGGAGGCATTTGACCAGTTGCCATTTATCAATCTGAATCAGAGATTGCTTTCTGTAACCCTGTATTTACAAGAGCCGATCGCTGTGAAATTAAAGGTATGGAAAAAGAAATAAGAAAACAGGCTTATTTAAATAATCCTTGCATTTGATCTTTCAGGATAATGTCCTATTTCAGGCTGATACTGAGGAATTCTAGGCACCACAAAATCGCACTTTAGGTATGAGAGGATTATGATTATATTTGCAGCCAAATAGATAGGCTTCCTCCTGTGAACATTTTGCTGATCATTTCAATGATCCAGCAAAACTTTGATGGGACACCAAACTTGTCTGATCCACGAGGCACAACCCACGTCAAAGTTGCCATATAAATGAAAGTTGTTGTCGGTGGTGGTGTTATTCTCTCAACCACTCTGCCTGAAAAGAGGACAGCCTGGGAAGACACAAAAACCCGGCACTTTGTGGGCACCTTGAGCAAACTTTGCTTGAAATGTTCTGCGGTAGATTCCATTGTTGTTGATGAAGTCCTTATCTCTCCAAGATCTTGAGTCAACCTCCATAAATTTCAATTCACTCACAAGTGCCTGAGTTGCACATTAGAATTACCACTAAACTTATCTACATTGAAAATTGTGGTGAAAAATATTTATTACATTTCCTGTCTAATCCATGGCTTCGCTGTTATCTTGCCTCTACCAGCCTCAACAGACATTGTTGTTGTTTAATGCTGCACCTACCTGAAAAAACTTCACTTCTCCCCATTAAAGCTCAAATGACACTGTGAGAGAGGGCTCGAACGTACAGAAAGAGTGTAAATTGGTCCTTCGGGGAACTTGTCTAGCCACTTGCTATAAATGGTTGATGTAGATAGTTAGTGACTTTGACTTCCAGCAGTTCTGAGCTCATTTTCCAACAAAGAACAGCAGGGAATGTCTAAAAATAATTCAGACAATCCCATCAGAGCAATGACAGCATTGAGTGGGTCCAGATTAGGTACAGTGCGATCAGACACAGGAAAAAGCTCTGTGTACTCTCTCACTCACCGTGGTTCAACTGGGTCACCAGCCAGGAGCAGCAGGGAGAGCAAAAGACTGAAAATGCAGGCAGCTGACAGAACAAAACCCCAAGCAACCTCTTCCCAAGCCCTCACCAACTTTCCCCTTGGCGGGGAGCCTAACCTGAATCAATGCTATATCATGATAAGGCGCTATATCAAATGCAAGAATTATTATTAAAGATGGCACGTCACTACCTGAAAAGTGAAGGAAGTATCTCTCAGAGTCCTGGCCAACAACGCCCCAGATTAAAATTGGTTATTCACTTCATGGCTGTTTGTTGGACTTGGCTCTGTGCAAATTGGCCACCTACAAAAATCTTACAGTCCCCAACTTTGCAGTGAATCCTGTGAAGTGCCTTGAGACGTCAACCTAACTTATTCACTGCTGTTGTGAACTTCTAAGCAGAGATTTTGATTCTGTTAACAGCATAATATTACATTAGTTGTGTATGATTTTTCGATTCTATTGTGTTATAAATTCATACAAAAACCTTATTCTGTCATTTGCTATTTCCACCTCCTTTTCTCCCCCTCCCCTATGGTTCTGATCCAGTCCTTTCATTTTCAACTCTCTTTCAATCTTACACTATTACATAGCAGCAGCTGTCAATCAGCGTTAGTCAAAGCAGAAAGTGGTTCAGGAGGGAGATTAAAAACGCAGAGTTAATTAAAACACTGTCATTTTCCTTTGGGCAGATTATGGCTAAGGGGTAAAATGGAGTAAAATTAGCTTCTCTTTCAGTTAGGATAAATGAGCAAGAAAATTAGATCACTCCAAACTTAATTAGCTCCCTAAGAGCAAGTAATTTAAAGAAAAAGTGTACATTCCTTTACTTGAAGATAAGAGCCTTTTCCATTTATGTGGTGAATGGTAGAGGAATTCAACTGTGTAAATACAGTGTAATACCGTGATGTGTAAAAGATGTAAATGGGTAATAACTGCTGGGCCAGTACAGACTCAATAAGCAATAACACTGGCATTAGCATCAATATTTGTGCAGGAACATATGAAAACAAATTTATGTTCCTTCTAACACATGCACTGGATGACATTGAGATGGATGGACTTGATGCAACTGTTCCAGGCATTTCCTTTTGCAGATGATGATGTGCTGTTGGGGGACTCACCTGGGGATCTTGTGTAATACATTCATCATCTTGAATACTAGGCCACTCAGTGGCATGTGATGGTGGATAATAATCCTTGTCTTTAATATAGCACCTTATCACATTGTAGAGATGTCTCAGATGCCCCCCAAGTGCCGCAATATGGCTCCAGAAGGGACCCTGAAGGTATTTACTGGGACATGATAGGGCATCAGTACCAATTGCCTGTTGGTATCTGGTGGTTGTGATGGACCTAATGGTTTGCTTGGACACTGTCCTTTGAAGGGCCAAACTCTTGTTGTTTTCATCTCTCTTCAATGATTAGCAAAGTCCTAAAGCTGGTTAAGTTTCTGGCATATAAAACATGCATCTAAATGGTACTTCTGTTGTGGTTCCGGGTTCCTTCACAATGGGCTGAAGGAAACTCTTCTGCTGTATGTCAAGTCCAGAGCCAAGATCTGAGGTGGATGTGTGGTAAATGGAGACCCCAGGACAGAGAGGGAGGGCTCTGACCTACAGTGACCTGTCTCTCAATGTTCTCAAGGGGGAAAACTGATCTGTTTGGCAGCAAGTATAAAATAGCCTTCGCAAACATAACATGTTCAGCAAAAAAAATGTTTCCTTCTTGTGTTTTTGTAGATGGCGCCCAAGCTAGAATGCAGTCTGTGCAAAACCCAACCCAGTAAATAACAGATGCCATATTATGCCCATCCTATACACCTACCATGTTCCCTGAACGACAAAGCCCATTCAGTACAACAAATCAGATACTTACTTGAGCTAGCCTAGAGCACACAGCCACACAAAACATCTGAGCATTTAAAAACAAAATTGGAACTTTTCAACCAAGCTGCAGGGGTGGTAAGCATTGGGAACCATTCATGGAGTACCTCCAAAAAATTCCCAATTTCCCGTATACCCAGCCCACCCCTGCACACTGCACTCACCTGGTTCTGTGCTGGAGGGATGCGAGGAGGTGGGTCTCTCAGTGGTTCAAAGTCTGAGAGAGGATGCCCGTGTGCAAAAGGCTGCTCTACTGAAAGTAATTATTAGGAGTAAATGCCATTTCACAATCAGCCATGTGTAAATCTATATTAAACCTGATCAAGTAAAAGACAGTGGACTGGGCAAGTCATGGTAATATTCATCGTGGGAACATCGTTTGAAAGGTGAAGCTAGACATAGAGTTCTGAAATTATAGAACGTTTGAGCAGCCTTCCTTCAATTGAGTCTACTCCTTTGCTTGTAGCCCCTTCCTCCCCTTCCCCGAGTACCTAGTTCCTGGGCTGGGAAGGGAGAGAAACAGGACAATAGCGATTCAACTGCATGGAGGTTTTTGCACTTGAGAACAGTGTTATCTGCCCATATGTAAGAAATCGCCATCAGTTTGAATCCAAAGGCAAAATGAGTTGGGTTTTTAAAAGCTATTTTGCCTTTTCCTAGCCAGACAGACTTGCAAGTTAAAAGAAGTCTAATAAAGGTTTAACATTGCCAGATGTACTCAGAAATGTGGGATTCTAGAGTAGGTTAAATTTTATCTTTGGAACAGACTGCACAGTCATTCCAGAGCAACAGAGTGACTAAGTCACACTTATTCAATACAAATGTTTCCCCAAGGACCAATTTTAGGGACACTCTGATTTTTATTGCATCTAAATGGCCTGTCAAGTACCTGCCTGAGTTGTAGATGTTCTAGTGTACCGGTATGAATGTAATTAGATTGATTTAGGATTTCATTGCACATGGGTTCATAGTGACCGGGATTTTGAAAGACTAATCCAAACATGAATCGTCATCCCTAAGGTCGTTACCTAAGCATCGACTGATGACTGGCAAAAATAATGATAATAATAATCATTATCCTTCCATTTGATACAGCACCTTATCACGTCTTCTAGATGTCTCAAAGCGCTTCACAGAATATACTGTAAAGTGAATTGACTATGTTTTGTGGGCAAAAGGATCAAAGAAAAGCAGCAGAAAACCCCCCTCTTCCTCCTCTCCAACCTCGCACCCCCCTCCACCTTTTAAATGCAGGGTAGAAGAACCTTTGGGGAGTGGGCAGGGTGCAAAAATTTCACACCAAAATGCTTCACTGCCTGGTTGTCAATTGTCCTCTTGGGGGATTACTGTACTGTTTTTATGTTAATGAATATCCTTATCACGGTTGACATAACTGCATGGTTTGATCAGCATCACCAAACGTAGGCCATTCAAAGCTTTTAGACACAGGTCATTGGCTATTGGGATGAGGTACACCTTTAATTCTGTCAAATTCTGTTGTATTCATTCAGTTTACATTGAACTTCAATCCCCGGTAGATCCATGGAACTCGACTGCCATCGGAGTCAAGAGATTTTGCAGGTCCACATACCAAACTAAACACTAATAGTACAGCAATAAAGCTACTCAAATGGTATCTGTCACTTTACCACTGTAATACGATTCCCCAAATAATAAAATAAATGCTTGCAATAAAATTTAGATTAAAAAGAAAGTAAAGTCAGCGCTTTAATTCTGGTTACCCATTGTAACTTACCCTCATTGTCTTTTTATTTCTTTAAATGTTTCCATTTTCTACCCAAATTGAACGTTTATCTACAAAGCACACAGTCACTGCTAATTACAGTGTAGTCCGTGAAGCACTCTGAGACGTCCTCCCGACGTGAAAGGCACTGTATCAAATGTAAGGATTTTCATTACGGTAGTATTTTTTCTTGCCAATATTGATGCTCTCGATCGCTCCCTCCCTGTTCTCTACCCTGTCTCTCTAGCCTCTCCTGAGCCTCCCAGAAACACGAACATCAATCTGGATGAGTTAACGCGTCCTCTCTCATTCCACAACACTCAGATTGTATGTTGAAAGGAATGTTAAAGGGAATCCATTATGGTACACTTTGACATTGCAAGCAAAGCATGCTGATTTGTTTTCACTGCGGAGACAAGCAGTCTGCATGCAACGCTAGTTTCACGCCAGTGGCAGCAGGCTGACCTTTGTGTTTCCCCTTTTTCTCCTTCTTGGTGCTGGCGGCCTGTGAGCCTGCAGCTGCAGACTTTGATTTTTTAGGAGGCTTTGGGACTTGCACGTCTGTTACAACCTTTACATCCTCCTGTTCGGCTTCTTGCACTGCTGCACGCCAATATTTGGAGGTGCGGAGGGGAGGGGAAGGTGGGGGAAACAGTAGAGACGGACAAGGAACAGAGGGGGAAAGAGAGAAAGAGAGAAGAGCAAGAGAAGAGATAAGGATAAAGCAGAGGGGAGATGCACAGGAAAATGTAAACAGCGGAACAGTTTCAATAGGCTTTAAGTAAAGTGCAACTGCTTGGTTTCACAGAATACTCTTCCTTTATGGCAAGATCGTAAACGTTCTGAAAATGGAATAGGCAACTGCATGATTATTTTATTGATTTTCAGACCGTGGGGTGATTAGGAGACACAACTAGTATGCATGAGTGGCATAGTCATTCTCAATGGACACTGGGTTTCCTGGTGGTAGGCAGATGGATTTTACAGAAAATGATTTACAGCTCTTTCCCCCTCACCCCTCCACCTCACCATCTTTTCTCCAATCTCTGGCACACATTGCTGGCTAACTAATAGCTGAAGGTAGTCAGGGACTGCTATTGTGCACCCGCACATGAGGAGACACGCTCTAATTTAAAGTGGAGAACATATGCTTTCCTTCATGAAATTGAAGGAAGAATCTGACCTTGATCCAGACATGTCTGGGTAATGTGGCTGTCAGCATAATATCTGTGGGCGTGGAAAGTCGTACACTGAGCCTGGGACACGTTTTGTGTAAATGTTTAGGGCAGAGAAATATATTGAGATATTATGAAAGCTTCAAAAAAGGAGACCCAATTATTCAGAAAGTTAATGGGTTCTAATTTAGATTTGACTCTAACGACTCTGAAATTAAAGCAGGTAGATCACAACAAAGGGATTGCTTGAATTCTTTGAACATGTTGGGAGCTGTATTGAAACGATTCTGAATAATGCAACGCTTCACAGGTGACTGATCAGAGGCTTTCTCTGCTAAAGTGTGAAATTAGAATTAAATTGTTTGATTCCATCTGTAAACTGCTTTAGACGTTAATGCGTCTGTGGTTACAAAACTGCAAAGCACACATTTCCTTTTCTGTGTTTGTTCGCCCACGTGGGTACACATCACGATTCCACATGTGTCCAAACCAGTGCACCACACATGTGCATACCAGTACTCAACATGCAATATCACACGGGTACACACCAGTATACTCAATACATATTCTAAAGTGTATAGAATGCTCAGGATATGCTTCATGGGGCAAAATCTTCACTACAGTCTCTCCAGCTAGTCTCATTTTGAAATAGCATCTCTCCTTAACAAAGTCTTACAATCCCCTTTTGCCATCAAAATCTTACTTAATTTCACTTCATTGGGGAAGGTGTTCCACATGCTAACTGCCCTCTACATAAAGTAATGAAGCTCTAAAATATCTATTCACCTCCCCCTCCTCTTTGGAATTTGCGAACATGGCCTCCTGCCTGTGGACCTCTTCACCATATTGAATTAGATATTGGAGTCTAGCTTAGTCTTTGCTTCATGCCCCCTCCTGACCTGATCGACCATCAGTGGGCAAGCTTTCAGTCAATCTGCCCCCTTCCTCTGGTACTCCATCCTGGAGTCTCTCCCCAGCTTTAAAGCTCATCTTCATACTTTTCTTTTTGGTCAGTTCTGTGAAGCACTTTGAGACGTCCTCCTGATGCGAAAGGCATTACATAAATTGTTATATTATATATATATATTCTACATATAATTGTTGTTGTAATAGCTTATCTGACCTTTTAGGATCCAGAATACTTCGTAAAATCATCCCTCAATTGTCTCTTCCCCAATGTAACAGTCTTAGTTTCTACAGTCTTCCTTCATAACTTTCACTAGTTTAAGCTATGTATTCATTAAGTCATCCTTAAACCCTCTGTAACACTAAGATTGTCAATACATTACATTATATTATGTACTACAATAGTACAAATCCCTTAATTAACAATGTACAGATTTAATACGTCATTAAATCAATATGTTTTGAAAAAGGTTCACCACATCTTAGCTTTCTATACTGCAGTGACATTAACAACTGATGGATATCATTAGGATTAATAACAATTTCACTCTCAAGTGAAGAACGACCTATCCTCCCACAGTTGTTTCAACATTAGCAGGGAATCTGTCTGCCGAAGCCCAGCCTCCAGCAGGACACTCCAGTTCACCCTAAGCCTCTATGCCATGAACCATGCTTAAGAGTCAATACTTGTAGTGGAGCTATTTTCACAGTCACAAAACAAAGGAGTGCATGTTCATACATTGTGCTGATTTGTTTTTGTACCCAGCTCGTATGGGAAAAGAGTTGGTAGACAAAAGGCAGGATTCAGACTGGGAGAGAAGACAGAGCAAACAGGAATGCGGAGAATTGGTTGACATGTCCTGCCTCCAGTTTAGAAAAGTCTGAATTGGCAGTGGGATGAGACTGACCCCCATCATAATGGCTGAGTTGCAAATAAAGGGAAGGTTTCTCCAGCTTAACTTTGCCTGTGTAAATGAGGTTTTGGCCATCAATGAACAATATGTGAATTACTAGAAATTAGCAGACCAGGCCAGCCAGTCTGGGGCCATTTGCAGTCTATTGCATGCATCAAGTAAACCAGTTAATTGCAATTTCCCCAAGAACAAGTTAGTTTCCAATCCAATTAAATGGTAGCTGCCATGGATTAGACAGCCACCTGCATAGCAGTCCAAAGGTGAGCCAGTGTCACTGTGGAGGTAAATGTGTGTAAGTGGATCAAACAGAGGTTCTGAAATACTATCCTGTTCATTTCATGCCAGCATTGCACAAAGCTTCAGGGATATGCTTTTAATATTTATTACTCGGATTCAATGGTCACATCACTTTCTAACTGGTAACTATTGTTGACTTCATTTTATTCATGCACCGCTGAGTGAGAACTCAAGAGTGCAAATGCAAAGGCTGTGATAAAGAGGGAGCATGAAGAGGGAACATTTGTGACGAAATACACATGGCAATGATATAAACCGGAACAAAAAGTATAATTGTGTCAACTCCAAACAAAATCTTTGTGTTACAAAAGATACATTGCCCCCTTCCGTCTCCAAAAAGAATTGAAAAAAAATGTGTGGATTCCTTCTCTGGATATGTTTTTTCCTTGTGAGGCAACTCCTTTCATTGTAGTTTCTAACACTGAAATTTACCATTGTTAAATTAATTATTCAGTTGTATTGCTGCCAGACTTTTGACCTGCAATATTGCAGAAATCTATGGAGTGGGTGTCTCGTGGTTTCTGAAGTGCATTGAAAGAGCGGCGAGCACTCAGTACAGTAGAAAGCACATATGCAAATAGCCTTAGCATTTGGATTTATATGTAAATTGGGCCCTATTTATAAAGTATGGCAGAACGATAAGACACAGTGTAAAATCACAACCTCTGCATTTCACTATGAGTCAGAAATATTACTTTTCCATTTAAACACTAATTTTCAACCATCGTTAACACTTTCGCTAGCTTAAGTTATCCTGCAATCACTTTCATTGTACTTTGGAGCAATGGTAGGGATTTGCAAATATACCTGAATTTGATTTGGGTCAATTTGAAATCAGCACCCTTGAACCGAATGTAACCGCGATACAAATCATTCTCCAAAAGATGAGAAGAAAAAGAAATTGGTTATTTTCCCACTGATTTCTGAGGAAGGAAGGAGTGGACAAAATTTTGCACAGTCTTAAATTTTAAGGCAATGAGAGATTGGGGCCTCTCTTGCCCATTAATGCCAAGCTGTTCCATTTCCCAACACAATAATCCCTGACCTTGAAGACTATGATGAGTGATTGAGCTAACAACTCGTTTCACTGGCACACCGCAATTTACTGCCTAATCAGGCACAACAGCTTAATTCATTTTCTTTAAATAATGATTTGAACTCTCATCACTAGTTTCTTCTCTCACTGTTTCACTGCACTTGATTGTTGATTGTGGCACTCAGCTCCTTGCTGTCCATCTGTGATGTACTTTTTTCTGGATGAGAGATAATACTGTGGGAGAGCTTAATGCCTTTTTCAAATCTCAGGAGCGCCTGGGTATCTAACCACAGATGTTTTCTCGTCATCTGGATGGTCACCCATTTTACTGTTAAATTTAGCCTCTATGGTTCACTAGCAACACAGATATAATTCTCAAACTCATGTAATCCTCTTTACACTAAGCAGAGTTCTTATTTACTAGGAAATTGTAGTTTTCTCCCACTGTTCTACACACAGTGTGCCCTGCAGAAAATGTGCACATTTGTTCTACAGTAATATCCGTCAGATAATTGTGAAAATCATGCAGAAAGAGGACATTAATGAGCATTAAATTAACACAGAAATGACAATTTTGAGAAGGATTTAAATCAATGTGGTGCATTTTTGTTCCTGGAATCAACAGAACCACTGTTCATGGTGCTGAGCAGAGAAAACTGGTCTGTATCCCAAGCTATAGGCAAATCTGAACCAATGCACAGACATTTGGGTGTATTGGAAAACAGTGTGAGATGCTTAATGAGGTTCTCACAATGTCTCTGGAATCTCACCTAACCCCCATTGGGTGTTCCTGTACCCTCCCCCCCCTTCTCCCCATTTCGGACAATGTCTTTATTCTTTATTCCGTGCCTTTGAAGATCCATTTTAGTTATCATCAAAATAGTATTTAAGATTTTACTGCGCTGCAAAGACAATCTGGGTCAGCTTTAATGTAATTTAAAAGTAAATCCAATTCTCTGAAGCTAGATTCTACTTCCAAACATTTCATTAATAAAATATTGCTTCATAAAAAAAGTAACAAATTGTTGTGAGATGAAAGCTTCACATTATTATATATAGCTTTACTGGTAAATCTTATTAAATAAGCAGTTCAGTTGAACCTGAATTGTGCGCCAAATTCAATTATCCCCTTGGAGTTATTCCATTATAGAGGATAATCAAGGTTCCTGATGAGCATGAGTTGAGAACACAAAACTGCTGTAAATTTGTCACTAAATCAGCAATCTCATGTTAACTGGCTGCAAAGATAATTTGTGTTATTAAATAGAAATCTCACCCAGGTACTGCAGACGTGTTTGCATGAAGTTGAGGTAAAAGCACAATTCTGGGGCAGAGGATTGAAAGCTGAGCTCTTCATTATCCTATAATTTCCATGTTGCAATTACACCTGTAGATGCATGAGTGTAACGTAAAATTCACAGTGAGGAGATGCTGATTCGAAAGTGTCTCCAACTCTGCTGAGACCCACTCAAGAAAATGGTTGCAGTGATGGAGCTGATATTCTTGCTCATTATTTCCAGTGAACTTAATATTATGGTGTACATTTCTCAAAACCTACCAGTGCAGGTCTCCTGCCTGATAACCATAGATGATTGTCCAGGAGTTAAATGTAGCGGGTAAGTCAGTGAGTGTGCCTGATCAAGTTACATTGGTTACTAACCAGGCACTGCAATTTTCTCTAACCCTTGGACGTGTGCAGTGGTGCTCCATGTGTTTGGTCCAACAGAGGTAACAACAAAGAGAAAGGTTTATTTGGAGTCAAAAAAAAGTTTGCTATGACGATTTTACTTCACAAACTATCGCAAGCATTAAATTCCTGATTGGTGAATATTCGTGACATTTTTGTGCTATTTTATACCATCAAACTGTACATTGATACCTCCCCCAGAGTCGCCCGAGTCTTGAGTTAATTGGGTTTGTGAGCTTGGGCATGCAACAAAGTGCACAGATACTGACGTACCGTGGTAAATGGTGCTGCTGTTGCTGTTGAGATACGATTCGACCAGAGGCGCCTGCTCCTCCGACTGCTTCGTCCTCCGAGTCCGTGAGCGACCGTCCACATTTGACTGGACCATCAGGGGCTCCTGCCGTCTCTTCTTTTGCTTCTGCTCCAGCAGCGCTCGCTGGGGGATAAGAGGAGAAAAAAAAGGCCTTGAGTGTTTGGGAGGGAAAATTTCCAATAGTTGTGATTGCGGACAGCTTGTTCATTTGGGGCAGTTTCCCAATGAACGAAAGGTAAGAGCACAAGGTGTCGTCCATAAAGTGACCTTTGTCAATTATCTGATTGAGATTATTTTACAGCCAACATTCTTAATTCTCCATTCCCTGTCCTCTCCCTGATATCATATTTGAACTAAGTGCTTCAAGACATTCCTTTCTACACGAAAGGCACTATGAAAGTGCAAGTTGTCATTGAATGACTGATGGGCTGGCTCTGTCGTGATTGTGCCTAGCAGATAAAGACATCTTTACTCAGCCTGAATATTAATGCGCATAAAATTCATTTTTACTCGAGACCTGCATACACTGTTCCAAAGTTAACTCCTAAGCAGCAAGAATCATTGCACCAGTAGCTGAATTCTCTCAGCCCAGATGCTCACTGTGAGGTCAGATCAACAACACTGAGCCCTGTTCACGTCACTGCTCTGTAACCAAGGTGATTTTAACAGAAAATATATTAGAGAATTCCTCTGATTGCAACATGTTGGCTCCAACTGCAGTACCTCAGCAACACTGGGAAACTGCTGACAAAATGTCATATTAGGATGTTTTACTAATAGGATAATTCTGAACAATATTATCTGACAATAGGCCAATTTAGCAACAATGACATTTTTCACACTGAACGTTACCCAAACGTGCGAGAGGTACTCCCACCTCCCCCCCACCCCACCCTCATTCCATATCCGTGATGTTTGTTTGACGTCAGTCTAATCCCTGTGAATGCTGGTGAGTGGGACACTGGCTTTTTATTATCAAATTGCAAAACAAATTTACATTTACATAGCACCTTTTAAGTCAGGAAGTACTAACAGGAGCTGGTATCCCACTAAGTGACCATCTAATGTCGGCAAACGTGGCAGTTAATCTGCGTCAGCAATATCCCATGAACATGTGCAGCAATGAAAGGCATGAGCAAATCACTAGTTTGTTTGGGTAATAATGGGTGGCGTGGAAATACTGGTCAGAACACAAGGACACCTTCTTTCTCTTCTGTTGTAACAGTAATGGGCAGATGGACCTTGGTTTAACGTCTTGTCAAAAGAATGTCTCCCTTGGCTCTGCACTAAAGGGTCAGCCTGGATTATGGATGGTGCGTGGCTTGTTGTCACTGCCCGAGAAGTGAGAATGCTACCAAACTGATTTGCCTAGAGGAGACATGCAGGCGCACACCCAGTACTCATCTAATCCTAGTTAGATTGTGTTCCAAACATACATAACTATCTGTTCAGTGTCCGAGCACCACAATTTCAAACAAAGTACAATCTCAAAATCGCTCAGCATTACATTTGCCCCCAATCATTCATGAAAGCTTTACGCACTAAATGTTGTCAGCTCATATCCTTAAATTTCTCACTGAGGGAATCAGCTGCAAATAACGTATTCATTGGACTGAGGGAACAATCTTCAAAATTACTTATTTCGTATGCAGTGAAGCAATGGAAACCAAGGTGAAAGTCATTAACCAATTTTGAGAGATTAGTGATAAATCTGAAGGATCCTGTTATGATGGCTAAGACAAGCTCGAAACCCGTTGAGGATGGTTTTTGAACTGAATGAGCTGAATAGTGGGGCTGCTTTTGTGGTTACATTTTCTACTGCAAATGTTCCAAATGCCAGAAGGCATCGCAGGAGCTAAACGTAGCAATTTCTAAACCTCACGGGCACCAATGCGATGCCGTAAATAATTGGGGCAAAAGAAAAAATGCAAGATTTCACAACAGATTTGATAATGATTTGACTGAATCAGCTGCAAAATATCACATATTCCAACACAACGTTCCAGGATTTGTTATCTCTGCTGGCAAAGCTGACTTGACAATGTCAGGTAGGTTAGGGGTCACTCTCATGGCGGCATACAGTTATGCCCATGACATGTCCAAATAATCATAAAATGTGTTGAAACATGGATGTGACGTTCGTACCCAAATATATAATTCCAATGTGATAAATAAGTCTCCATTTCGCCCACAAAATATAGTCAATTCACTTTACAAATATACTCTCGAAGACGTGATAAGGTGCTATACCAAATGCAAGGATTATTATTATTCTAATTGCATAGAATCACTGATTGGGGCATAGCTTTCAGGTAATAATCCCTATTCAGGCATGCAATGGGATTGAATTATTTGTGTTTGCTCTGTCAGGACCATGCATGTCCATTAAGTTGTTCAACTTTACGTTCAGTTGCAGAAGGAATGACTGACAAGACAAATCGGTAATTTACATAAAATATATATGAAACCAATCAGAGTAAATGTTGAAAGGGGAATAGGCTGATCATAACATACCCTGACAAACTAGTGAAGGATTTATCAGATTTAACTGCAATAAGAATCTGAGGTTTACAGCTCAGTAAACATTCAGGCACTTATTCAGATATAACAGCCAGCAGAAAGCTTTTGAAGCAGGGAGTCATTTAAATCTAAAGGCTATTTCTTTGGCCGGATCTATTAATTGTAAAGTAATGGCATTACATAATTGCAAACATTTTAAATAGTTTTCTGTGCATTTCAAAGTGAGGGATCTCAGAAGTGGAGTGGAGCATTTGTCTATGTTGATTTCGAGACTGAGCACTGCGTAATAATTGTACATTCATTTGAGTGCATCGAGAGGCTGTTTCAAAGTCATTTAGGATTTACTTCTCTTTTTGGATAATAAAACGGGATAATTTACATCCAACTGACTAGGCAGACGGAATCTGGGTTTAACGCATCATCTGAAGGACAGCAACTCCAAAAACTGAACACTCCCCCAGCTCGTTATTGGAGTCTCAGCCGAAACAATACGGATTCAAGGTCTGGACATGGGGTTTGAACCCACAAGTTTCTGACTAAGAGGTGAGAGTGCTACCAAATAAGCCGTACAGATACAATGAGCATGTGTGAAGTAAAGCCGAATAATTGCTATCATAACAATTTATAACCTGACCATGCCCCTCCCCGTCCACCACTAATCCATAGGTCTGAATCTTGCACTCCATGTGCCTAATATTCTTGAGACTTCTCAGAGTTACTTAGTAGTCACGAGTAGTTGTAATACTACTACTAATAATAATCCTTGGATTTGATATAAAGCGCCCTATCACGTCTTCTAGATGTCTCAAAGTACTTCACAGAATGCACCATAAAGTGTAGTGACTGTTAACTTTTTGGGGGAAAAGTGGCAGCCAAGTGCTCACAGCAGTGTCTCACAAACAGTCATGGATTAAGTGACCAAATTATGATTATTATTTTTTTCAATAGATAATAATCCTTGCATTTGATAATAATCCTTGCATTTGATATAGCGCTTTTCACGTCTTCTAGACATCCCAAAGTGCTTCACAGAATATACTGTAAAGTGAATTGACTGTATATTTGTGGGCGAACAATAGATTATTACTCCTGGAAAAGCAATCCACCAATTGACTAAAAACCGAGTTCTTACTTACTGCGAGGTGAACAGTGGTGTGTGGAGTAAGGAAACTTGCCCATTGTTTCGCCCTGCCCGGGAATTGAACCCAGGGCCTCTCACTTGTGAGGCGAGTGCTTTTACCACTACGCCAAAGGGCTCCAGTTGTGCAGTGAACTGGTAAGATCTAAACCAATGCTGCGCAAACTCACATTGACCCCTTGGAGATGGAAGAGGCTTTCTCCTCATCAGTCGGGGCTGGATTCAGAACCAGGTTCCAGCGATAAAAGGACAGTAAGTTTAAGTTACTGGAACCATCCCAAGATGCTAAATATTTAATAAGGCTGCAAGCATCTGGAAGAGTGGTATAGACAGCTTTTCAATTATTTAATCCTGCCTATTTTTTAAAAAAATTGTGTGCAATCTTAAATATAATAATAATCCTTGCATTTGATATAGAGCCTTATCATGTCATCAAGACATCTCAATTTTGTGGGTGGTAAGCAATATATAATGTAATAAGCAACAGCCTACAAACAATCTATATATAAAGACACTGCTACTATGGGGTTGTATGGTACTCTATATCTCACCAGGGATGGAAGTTGTAAACATCTCTTCCTCTTTTCACAATGCAATTGTATCAGACCTTGACCTGTTCTCATCCAGGGCTCCAGAATGTTTACACAAATTATCTTTAAAGACATTTGCTTTTTTAAAAAATTGCTTTCACTTCCTAAGTGGACAGCAAACAGCAACAGGTAAACAACACTTTAAAAAGATCTTCAATTGAGATGTCGCCAGTCATGACGATCATTCTTTCTGCTGATTGAAGGAAGAGTCTTGAGCTCACAGTGCCAGTGGGAGATTTAGCTTCCTCTGTTAGGTTACAAATTCCTGAAATATTCGCTCTGCTTTCAATTTAACTTTAGATTGCTTCAGATAACTGGCCAGCATGCAGAGCATTGGGCCGTCAAATACTTCCTTCTTGTGTCCCTTGTCAATTAAAGTACATGTCAAACCCATTTGCTGTTGAGCAGTGGAAAATCACAAAACCGCTGACATGATCGGTCAGAGGGAAACAAATGAAAGCCAAGATACTCATCCTGTAAATGACAGGGGAATCCTCTCGCACACTTTTTTCTCCAGTTGATGGACAGTGATATATATATATTCTTTTTTTAGATAATAAGGTAGTTATCATGACTTGGTTTTTGGAAAGTTATTGGAACAGTCATTCCACAAAGTGCATTTGTGATTGTTCTTAAATAATCTTAAAATTAAAATTGCTTCAGTTATTCAAGTTCTTTGCCCTCACAATATTAGCAGAACTGCTGTAACAGAATTTAGTGATGAATATTTCAATTTTCCAGTTACAAAGACATTCATTTGTAATTAATTTCTGGTGTCCTGATAGTCCACCATCAAAAGGCTAGGTTGAATGGCAGCAGAAAATCAGATCTGAAGTATAACTAAGCCAGTGCTTAGTTAAAATTGAGACAGGTATCGTATTCGTGGCATTGCATTCTGTCCCAAAGCTTTGGAATTCTCTCCCTCAATCTTGTCCCTCTCCTTCCCCTCTTTTAGATCAAAATTGAAGACCTTCCTCTTCAATGGTGCATTCGGTCACCTTTTCCCTCCCCCCAACTCAGCGCCAGGCTCTGCCACTGTTAAGCACTCTGGGCCATTTCCCCACATGAAGGGCGCTATATAAATGCAAGTTCTTGTTATTATTCCATTCAACGTATAATTTTTAAAGCTCTACTGACTTCCTTTCAAAGGATGCACACGTTTCCAATAGTAAATTAATAACCCTTGACTGGTACAAGTTATGTCTTGCAGGATTGTCCAAAATGACAAATAATGATATTTTATATTGAAATAAAAGTGTCATGTTTTCACCTCAGCCGGCCGAGAAAAGAAGCATTATTAAAAAGTTTAACATTTGAAATTCTTACCTGTCTGTCAAGCTTTTGCTGCCGCAGGTTGCTGCTCTCATCATCCAGAACACTGTGGAGGCAAACAGTACCATCAATCAGTTGGTGCCCACAGAGAAGCAGGTAACATGCTCACAGACACTACTACACAGGAGCCCATCCAGCCTATGCTGGTCATACCTCTCCCTCTGGGATCATCTACTGTCATTCCAATTCCCAACTCAGAATAAGACAAGGTAAACATTTCATGCTGGTATGTAAAACAAAGTTCCCCTCGACCCCTCCAGTGTCATTCCAGTTCTTGCTCTTCCTTATTACTGTTTCACCAACTAGCTTTCACCATCTATCCCCTCAAAACCTTTCAAAATTGCAAATCTTACCCAAAAGGAGTGTGATCATTTTTCACTGGCCAACTAACTTTGTCTGAGATGTGCAAGGAAAGAAAATAAAGTGTGCGAAAGATCATGGGTGCACATCAGATAAGCCGATCATGTGTAAAGCAGAAACTGATACACAATGTTACACTGGTAAGGTGACAACCATCGAACAGCTTTGACAAATCCTGTCTTGCTTTCCCTTGGATAATGAGACATTTCATTCACTGAAGCACTCTCTTTAGTTTCTACCCAGGAGAATTGCTGTGGCACTTTGATCCCAGACACCTCTAAGTGAGTGAATACGCCAGCCGCAAGTATATTCTCACAGGGTATTACTGATGCAAGTTTACAGATTGCGACTTTTGGAGTATTAGCCATGGAGAAGAGCTTGTGGAGTGATGGAAAGCCTAAGAAATTCACGACACAATAGCCAGTTGAATGGTCACCACTCTTACTCCCCAGACATACGTGAGCTGCGCTCTGTGAGTGTATCTGACAGTGAAAACTCTGCAGCCTTTTCCAATGTGTCATAGCCTCCATTAGAAGCAAAAGTGATCTACTTATCATTGCAAATAATTCCCCAACCACTCAAGAGATTTGAGAAGAGAGGATAAAAGCTCCTATGTTGAAAGTAAGAGTTCCAAAAAGATCCTGATAATGCGGACAGTTTCACAAGTTAAAAGTCTGAAAGATTTTACAATATCTGTGGGAAGATTAATTTTTTCTGCTTCTCATCTCTTAAAAATGCATTTGGGGTTAGCTTGTTGAGTTCTCCTATTTGGAAGATTGTTCACTACTTGTTCTGGTAAGATCAGATTGCTGCAGGAAGGAATGATTTCCTCATTCGGGGAAATGGGCGTGGCAGTATCAAATATTTAGCTTTCATGTTAATAGGTGTTACCATATACTTATCCTTCCAACATCACTTTACTTCAAGCCTCATTCTCAATAGCAAGAACAATGCCTATTTCAAACTTCAGTGTAACCTTTTGAGATGTCCTCTCAATGTGAAATATGCTACACAAACATACATTGTACAGTGTATTGTATCGTTGCACTTCGATTCTTAGGCGACAAAGATGTCAGTGTAACTCAGTTCATCTCCAAACCAGATCACTGAATTAGCACCGCATCTGTTGACCGTTTGGTGATTTGTATCTGATGCTAACTGGATTGAGCATCTTTAAGAAGTCATTAGTTCTGAACAGCCTAGGACCATCCGGAAGTCTAATAAATATATCTTGCTGAAGCTGTCATATTATGTAAGCAAAGCTTTTCAAAGAAAGACGTCTCAATGGGGATCCTATCTGTAAAACTGCTTTATTCTTGACAAGGTCAAGCTGACTCAGGGACAAAATTGCTTCACAAACAGATTCAACGACTTAAACTACAACTCAGAACAGAGATTTAATTTCATGAGGCATTTGCTCTTTCGCGCAAATTGCAAAAATTTCTTCCATGCATTTCGATTTCCATGACTGTTTGTGGGACATTGCTGTGCGCAAATGGCTGCCACGTTTTGCCCACAAAATATATAATTAATTCACGTTACAGTATATTCTGTGAAGATCTTTAAGATGCCTCAACAATGTGATAAGGCGCTACATCAAATGCAAGCATTATCATTATAGTATTTTGATGAATTTCACCTACAGTAGTTTGCAAGACTAGTTGTGTGATCTGAGACATCACCTCTCAGCCGTTTGAAACCTGAGCATATTATTATCACTGGGAAAAGATGGCACCAGGTGTTATCAACTAATTCTATTCTTACACATTATTTCTGCGTCGTAAAGTACTCTGACTTTAGAAACTAACTCTTGTTGCCCATCTACGATAAGTATAATTTGGTTATTGCTATCAGTCAGGTACACAACTGATAAAGGGTAATAATAACAATATTAATCCTTGGATTTGATTTAGCAACTTATCATGTCTTCGAGGCATTTCAAAGCACTTCAGGGATATACTGTAAAGCGAATTGACTGTACAATTTGTGGGACGAAATGTGGGAGACAATTGCACACAGCAATGTCCCACAAACAGTAGTGGATTGAGTGACCAATTTTTTACAAAAATTGATAAGTCACTAAGAAATATTATTCTAAACTACTTTAGCCTCTTTCAGGTTTTGAATGTCAATATTTTGTTTCGATTGCTTTTCTGCAGCTCCTCTAGAGAATAAGAATAAGGTAGACAAAAGTACTCACTTTAATTGTGCAAGTCTCTCACATTCACTCCCTGCTTCTCTTTGGTCTAGACTCCCTGGAGTCTGTGCAGCAAGAACACTGAGCAGTTTGCAGTTCAGAAGTATTTTCTGTCCCATTAAAATCAATGGAAAACGCAGCCTTATAAACAAAACTGTGGCATGTTAGCCGATTTGTGGCAGCAACTGAATACAGTTGTAATATTTCTGGCAAAAAAGGTTCTGGATTTATCCGGAGAGACAGCATTGTTATCAATCAGAGATTATGTGGCAGCTCCACAATAGTTCTGTTGTTACATTCACTGTCCATTGTAAAGCTGAAGCAGAAAGGCCCCAGCTTCAATTCCTGGTCTGCAATGAGATATCACACTGAGTAAGACAGAGGTGTGTGTGTGGGGGAGGAAACATGAGGACAGATTCAAACTCGAGAATCACCCCATCTGTAGAAACATGAAGAAAATTAGAGGGGAAAAGTAGAAATGCACTTATGAAGGACCAGCTCATCCATTTGTATCATGAAAGACCATCTTTCCTTCCTCCCATTGTAAAGAAGGGCCACCTCTCTCAATCTGTGTGCTATTATTGCCTGAGAGCAGAAGTTCAGTTTTAATAGGTGCTCATTACGTTACCCAATTAAGGTTCTATTGTCAGAGTGAAACATTTTTAACAGATTTTTCCTCTTTACAAACATGGCACGCAATGAAGTCAACTGTCTACTGTGGATGCATTGCTTGCATGTAACATCATTACTGTGAAAACACCAAAGATGCTTTTCTGTTTCCGCTGCCTGCCAACTAACATACATTAAACAGAGTGAGGAAACTGCCGTGACCAGGTTAAATCGAAATGTCTTCTTTTAAAATAAAAGCTGCTAAAATGCTAATGTTAATAACCGGATCACGCTGAAATCAAGTCAATAGTATGAGCTGTCTAAGGTCACAGCCGAAGAACAATGGATTTTGCTTTGCAATATGACGGGAAGTGGAAATGAACCCACAGCTCTCGGATAACAAAGCGAACGTCCTCAAAATGCTGTTCAAAGACAATGTTTGGCGATTTATCATCATGTATGCTGCTAATCTCTTCAGCACATCATCACTTGGGCTTCATGATCCATTCCGTCATTTATTTCTGGCAGTGAAAAATGGGATATCTGGACGTCAGCCAGCATGTTGATGAGTTCCAATTGTCTGCAGAAAAAGCAGTCACAAGGGAGTCTACGCTTCTGTCTGGAAGTTGAGCAGTGTTTCAGTAAAAGAGCTTCCTTGAGAACAGATCTGTAAAGAGCTCTTGAAGTCCTAGCAAATATGTATCCATCTGGTTTCACTACCACAACATATTTGGACTGTAAGAGTAGAACTTGTTGGAATTCTGACTGGAGATCCACCCTTAGCCTCTTAAACATGCGAAAGCAAATGGTTTAGACATAAGTGTGAAACTTGGCCTCTTGTACCCGGAAAACCACATTGAAACCTCGTGACTCCACAGGGAGAGGGGAGCGAGCAGGCGGCTCGCTTTTCATTACACAAGAAAGTAGTGGCTGCTTTTTTTAAAAAAAAGAAACGTCTTAATTTGGGGCGGTTCAAGGATATTGTGCTAAGGGAGAGGAAAAATAGTATTTACCACTGCTTCAGAAGGGAGAAAAATGACACCTTGACTTATCAAGCCATTCGTTTTCAAGCAAGTGTCCACTTTTGGAGTATTAGGGCGTCTGTTTCGTTTCACTGCATGGAGTTTAGTTACACGTGTTATGAAGGCAATTCTAGCAGCAATTTGCATTTATATAGTGCTTTTCATATAAAAGAGCATCTTGAAGAGTCTGACAAATGTAGTGCACATCGACATTGTAAAGATATTGAGCAAAAACCCTGTTGAAGGGATTTATTTTTAACAGGTTTTCAAAGGGAGGGAACAGGACGAAATGAAGTCCAAATCTACGGAAGTGGTTTTTGGAGAGCAATGCAGAGGATAGTATCACAGTGGCCGAAGTCTCGGCTGCCTGCCTCCCTTACCTCCTCTCTGCCTGCCTACCTGGTTCCTCACATCCAGGTCAGCTCTCAGAAATTCCATTTCCTTCCTTCCTTCCCAAATTTTACGTCAGGAGGATGGCTCAAGGTGTTGTACAGTCAGGGATTTGGACCTGAGCTGGGGGCTGGGATCAGGAGGGGTGGATGGCAGGGAGGGTGGGGGTAGGAGGGTGACTGAAGACGCAGTCGAAGAGGAGGGTCTTCAGATGGGCCTTGTCAGGATTTTTCAATCAAGTTAGTTTTTAATTTGCTATTTATATTGTGGGACAATTCGTTCTTCGTCAATTCGTTCTTCCTCAAGTTAACTTCCAACGATGCAACTGCAGTTAAAGCCCATACTATGGCCAGTAATAGGTATCTCTCATTAAATCTCTCTTGTTCAGTCTGATCGCAGTAGCTTTACACGTTAGCTCCTCACATGCATGATTGCACAGAATTTGTGCAAAGAATCGGGGGGGTGGGG